ATCTTGGGATATCTGAATAGTCGATGGTCGGGCCTTCGTCGTCGGACTCGGTATCGGTCGGGAGGTCGCCTATGAGCGAGGAGGTGAAGATGGCGGTTGTCGAGGTTGAGATGGAGGTGGGGAACGTGTTGTTGATCTGATGGAGGAAGCCGTAGAGATTGTCGATCCAGTCGTCAAAGTCGTCTTTGGGTTCGGGTCGATCGGAGGGTTGTGGTGGTCGTCGGGAGAGGCCATCGGGGCCATGAGAGGTGCCGGGGACGTGGACAAGTGTGAAATGGAAGGTGAGGATGGAGACGATCCACCGATTGATGCTGGCGCTGGGTTCGAGATCCGGGTTAGTGAGCATGCCCTTGATGTAGCGTGCGTCTACTTCGACTATCAGGTTCCGAATGCCGATGAGATACATTTTGAGCGATCGGAGGGCGCGGAAGAGGCCGTAGAGTTCGAGCTTGGGTTGGGAGAATCGCGATTCGCGGTCGTTAAGGGTGATGGAGCCGAATCGGGCATAATACCGAACCCGCGGATTGTCGAGTGCGCATTGACAGAGGTGGAAGCCGACCGCAATTTGAGAGGTATCGACGGCGAGGATGACGTTGGCTGCCGACCCATAGTCGATCGGCCGAAGGGCTGGCGATTCGAGAAGTGCCGACCGGAGGTCGTCCTGGGCCGCTATCTGGTCTGGGCCGAACACGAATGGAAAATCTTTGCGCGTTAACATTGTCAGTGCATGCGCCCTGTGTGCAAAATTCCGAATGAAGATCCGAACGACACCGATCGTCCCCAAAAATGCCCGAACGTCAGAGAGATCCCTGCAAGGTCCCCACTTCATAATTGACTCTACCCTAGATTCGTCGGGTAATCGTCCTTCATACGTGCACCGATGGCTGACCACCGTGATTTTGGCTGCGCAGAGTGTCGCCTTGTGTCCCGAAAAGGTCCCTCCGCTATACTTCATCCGCTGAACCACTCGATTGAGGCCTTGAAAGTGTTCCCACACAAACCGTCGTATGCCGGGGTTGTCGGGATGCGTCTCGAAGCCGCCGTTCGGAAGTTCGTATCGGGTTGGCGGGCCCCGAATCGGAACATCGTCGATGAAAGGAATGGTGGTGTCTGGGATCTCTGGCTGGAGGATGTGGGTGACGTCATCGTGGAAGATCGGGACCGAATTCGTCCATCCCATGGGTAGGGTGACGAGTCGGTGGGCGCCGAATGGGGTCTGGAACGTGGTGAAGTCGCGAGATGATTCGGAGAGCCCTCGTTCGTCATAGCCGACATAGAGATCCAGAATGCCGCCGCAGGCGCGAGCTGCAAACTGTTCAGCGATCTGATCGGTATATGGGGGCACACCTGAATGCTGGATGGTGACGGCGTTCAGGGGTTCGAGGCTGTGAACGATTCGGAGTTTGGTGCCAGTGGAGGTGCTATTCGTCTTCTTGACAACCGTAAACCAGCGCGATCGGTAGGACGAATTCGACGGCTCATAGACTCCAGCGGCGATCTTGGTTTTGATAAGTCGGCACACTTCGTCGTAGATGCCTGGTGGAATCGGAATGTTGCGTTGAACCCAGGGCTTGTGTTCGACCACCGGCATATTGACTGGAGGAAAGAAATCCTCGCGGAAACGTCCGCGTTCCGAATCGTCCCAGGCAAATCCCATCTCTTGTAGACACATGAAATGGTGCATGAGCTGTCGTTCGGCCGGCCAAAGGAAGTCGTCCGAGTGGACTTTGTCGATGAGGTCGCGTCGTTCGGCTGTGTATCTGCCGGTCGGCGTGAAGGGTGGGGGGTTCGGTGTCAGTGTCGGAAGGGCAGCGAGAGGGTCACCGAGGATGTTCCGAATGATTCGGAACTTTTCGGGGAGGTCGGCCAAGACTGGTCGTGTTTTCTGTGCGACCGGTTTGTACTTGCGCTTGGCGGCGAAAATGGCGACCGGGTCGGCGATATTAGTGGAATGGAGAGAACCGGGAACGAATGAGGAGAATAAGGACAACATATCGGAATCGAGATTGTTTTTGAGATGATTTTCGGGCCCCAAATCGGAGGCCATAATGTACTTGAGACAAAGATCGCGACGAGAGGGAGATGGAGAATGGAAATCTGAGGACGCTTCGATAAGTGGGAAATGGGGGGTATCATGATCGGTGGAAATGATCAGTGCAACTTCTCCTTGATCTCGGATCAATTCATCGAGTCGCGAAAACCCGCTTGTCTTCGGTGAAGGACTCGAGGGGGTCCTCGTCTGATCGTCGGAATGGTGGCTCGTCGTCCCGTGTTCGGGTCGCTGATGGTGATCGTCTGGTCTTCGTTTGAATAATTTTTGACGATACTTTCGGTGAGGATGTCGAATGGCCGACCGAGGAGAACGTCATAGGCGGGGTTCCGAATGATGTGGACTTGGAGGTACAGGGTGATGTCGCCGATGAGGAATGGCACGTTGCGTGCCAGGCCCAAGGAGCGGTCAATTTCGCCGTTCGCCGACTGCATATTGAGGACGATTTCGGGGTCGTAGATGAGCGCCAGTTCGTTGCAAATGCCTTCCGACATGGCGATGACTTGTGAACCCGGGTCGATGACGCATTCGACTTCCTGCTGATGATCGACGAGGGGAACAATAGACCTTAGGGCAGACGATTCTTTAGCAACTATCAATGGCTGAGGAACCTGACCGGGCTGTAGATTCTTCAGGTACGTTTCGTACATGTCGGGGATGATGATTGCGCCCGGCGGGGGTGTTTCCGGTTGGTGCAGGACATTGATGAAGGAGGAGACGGTCGGTCGAGTCGGTGGTTCGAGGTCGTCGATGGCATAGGGTAGATCGGCATCTTGGTAGAAGGTCCGAACATTGCTGGCGTCTCTGGCAGGCGATCGGCGTGCCGACGTGGCTTCCCTGACCTGTGAACGGACTTCGGCGGAGAGAGAGAGTAGTTCGCGCTGGGTAAGCGTCACCTGAGTGGCCATTGCCCTGTTGTAGACCTCAGCTGCTACCTTCTCGTCGTAGATCGGCGCCGTGGTTTTGTAGGCCGGAGCGTCCTTCTTTGCCGATGGTATCTTCGCCGGGGCTCCCATGTTGCGGTCGTGTGGCGGTGCATAGGTGGCGTCCTGGGCTTTGGCATATGGGTGGATCGGAGCATCGTCCTTGGCTGGTACCGGGGGCGGTCGCTGAGTCGGGGTGGTCGGTCGGGGTTCGGGTTCGGGAGTTTCGGTCCTCGCTCGTTGTTCGGGGGCCGGTGAAGGGGTAGGTGCCAAACGTCCTGCCTGCGCCATTTCGCGTGCCCTTGCGCCCCGCGTTCGGAGCGCGAATAGTTCGCGTTCGAGGCTCGCGATTCGCTGGACGTCGGTGAGTTGGTAAGTCGGGGTGACATCCAGCAATGAGGGTGAATCGTGACGGGAGGCTATCGTCATCGGGTGAGTCGGCACCGCGTTTACCGTAAACATCATCTGTCCGGTCGCCAACTGGCCTGGATTCCTGCGATGCCATTCGTCAACTCGGTCCTTCAGGTTACTACCCGTGATTTCTCTCGGTACGAATGCCCCACTTGACAATACCACCTTCCACTCGATATTCCTCTTGCATTTTCCGATCCGAATGTATTCGGTGACCTCGGGACAGGCGCGCATGAAGTGTTCGGGACTGCCGCAGAACATGCAGTTGTCGCCGCCTTGTCCTGGCTGTCGGGATGGTCGATCGGCTGGCCTGGTCGTCCCCTGAGCTGTGATGGCCTTGACAAAGGTGTCGGTGAGCCGTTCGAACATGGTCGCCAGGTCTTCGGCCTTGATCGCGTTGGTGGGCGGCGCGGCGGGGGCTGCTCGAGAGATGTCGGTAGGGATCGTGCTGTAGGCGGACGTGGTGCCGTGCAAGACGAATCGGGCCGCGTCGTGGATGTCTTGGAGGTTGTATGGGTCGTCTGGGAAATGATCGGGGAACTTGAGTTGTAGACGTTGAGAGATTCTTGCCCATAGCTCCGGTTGGAATCCTCTAGCGAAGGCGCGTCCTTGTTCGGCGACCGAGATCCATGCCTTGCTGAGGAGGAATACCGTGATCGCCAGGAATCGCCGATGATAGTCGCCGAGTTCGCTGAGAGACAAGATGCCGACCCTGCTCGTTTCGCCGACTAGCTTGTCCATATCCGATACCGACCATTTGCGTTCTTCCTCCGATCCGGGGTATAGCCTGTAGACCTCTTCGCAGAACTCCTTGAAGGTCTTCGTGGCGTCGGTGAAAGTGGTGAGCGATTCCCAAAGCTCACAGGTGTCGACATCTAGGAATCGGCAAGCGTGTTTCTTTCTTTCTTGTTCGTCCACTACCGCAGACCGAACGAAGTGGAAGTCCAGATCGGAGAAATATCGTCTCAATTCGCGGGGTTGATGGGGGTCAAAGGTCGGGGCCGTTCGATCTCCACGAGCGGGCATGGATGGGGTCGCCATAGTGAGAAAGTCAAAGGTGGGGGAGAAGGTATTGTTTTCTAAGGTGATCGGGGATGGAGTCGCTGGTTCGAAGGAGCGTTCTAGTGAAGTCGGTCGGATGGTCGGCGTCCAGAAGATGGGGCTGCGTGGGATTAACGGAGAGATGGAGTCGTGGAAAGATGGGATAGGAGACGGGGGTGATTGTTCTAAGAGTGCAAGGTCGAGGATAGGGGAAATCGGTGGGAGTAACGATCGGTTCAGCGACGAAGGTGGGGTTAAGAAGAAAGTGGAGTCGGGTGGTGGTGAGAGCGATGGCGAGGATTCGAGATCAAGGTGGTGATGGTGGGATAAGTGTTCTGGGACTATATCGGCGTCTCCGAACAAACTTCGGTCGGCAGATGTTTCCTGAGTATTGAAGCTATCAATAACTGTTTGTCGTTCTTCGCGCTCCGCTGTTGGTCGGGACGAGCGACGTAGATTCCTTGAGGTAATTTTGAATACTAACCCCTCGCGGTGGGCTCCAAAATGATACGCTAGAGGTGGCTCTAAGTGCCGAGCACAACACTAAAACAACCTCTAAAGCAGGGGTGCTGGAGCTAGTATCTGATACACAAGGAATTGTAAGTGATGACTTTAGAAATTGAAGGCGTAGCGAATGAGGCCGAACGACGAGGATGACAAGTTTTCGGTAGTCGACGAAGACGATTTCGATGGTTGAGACGAGTGCGAATGAGCTCTGAACTGTGGGGTGCGAAAGCTGGTTTATTCCAGAGTTGTATGTAGGTTTTTATAGTAAACTGAGCCCCTAAGTAAAATATTAAACAAGAAATGAGAGTAGATGTCGAATGGGCGCCAAGCCTTAGCGATCAGAGAAGATAAGGAGGTAGGTGAGATGTCCATATGGGTTCCGAAGGTGATAAGGTAAAAGGTAATCAGTGATGTCGAAATCCCGAACGTTCGGGATCCGTCGCCCGAGTGTAGGTAGCAGGAACAGGCGTTGGAGAACCAATGAAAAATAAAGAAGAGGTATCGTACGACCAGGGTGGCCAAGCAATGGTGTAAGATTGCGTTTGACCGACCATGCGGAAGTCAGGACGATAAGTGATAAGGACCGACCGACTCACGGAGGACATCGGCCGATACGGAATACTGGCTCCGATCTCGTACACACCTATCGTAACCCTCCTGTGCGGTCATGGTAAGTACGTGAAGTGTGGGCGAACTGACCCAAGTGCTGCCGAATCGTCCTTCGGTGGCTTGTCGTCAGTCGGGTAGGGACCGACCGTGTTCGGTAAAAGTCGGCGTCTTCGGTACTTGTCTAGCACTGTTCGGTATCTCCCCAAAGCTTCCCGAATCCCTCCCTCGGACCCTAGCGCGGGTGCATGCTCATCACCGTTCTCTTAATGCAGCAGGAGCACTTGGACTTGCACTTCATCATCTCTATTCTACCATGCAAGGCTTCAATCTTCAGCAGATCTTTGCTATCATACCAGCCACCTGCTCTCGATATCTCCGATTTTCGCTTCATTTACTTTTGGCAACTCTACAATCACTTGATACTGCTAAGATTACCTGGTCTTCTCCAGACATGTTCTCGGAGCTGTCTGAGCTTGTTCAGGCTTGACACTCTCTTTTCTCAGGTGCCTTTGCTACAATTGATGGTCTGAAAGTTCATGTTGAGACCTCAGAGGATATTGAGTGGGAAAATGCAACATATAATGGATGGTTGCATGCACACTTTGTGTCATGTGTTCTTGCTTTTGCTGCAAATAGTACACTCTTTTCACTGACATGTACATGGAGATAAGCAGTGTCTTATTATTGTAGGACTCATTATTGGAGGCAGACATAACTGTCTGGGCAGTTGGCATGATGCTCGAGTTGCCAAATCCATCTATGATAAATTGCAGAAAGACATACTGGATAGCTACTATGTTGTAGCAGATACAGCTTTTCCACATGGGACAGACCAAATTGCAGGCAAAATCCATATACCAATGAAGGAGGGAGAGAGGCTGCCCATTGACGATGAGGAGCTGAGGGAGGCACTATAGTTTAATCGACAGCTTCTGTCTTATTGACAGACAGCCAAATGGGGCATGTGTGCTTTACAAGGTTCATTTGGCCAGTTGCGAATGTTGCTCGACATCAATGACAACATTAGAAGGGCAAACATATTAGAGATATGCTTTTGTCTGCATAACTTACGTACTCAGCTAGTAGGAATTAATTAGATCCAGTCTGTTTATGTGCCAATTTGGAAAGATAGAGATCAGGATAATTTATGGGATGGTTTCGAAGGAATGGCCTTTTCAGAGCAGCAGAGACATGACAGGGTCTTGCGTTTTCACATCATGCCAAGCTTTGACTAAAGGAATGGTTATAAGGTCATATTATAAAGAGATTATACTGCTGTGCACTATAAAGTATCAAGTAACAAAAGAGTGGGGGTTTAAGGGGCTAGTGTCACTCTCTAGTCCGAAATCAGTTCATTTTCTTCATCAGTTTCCATACCCTTTATCTTCTTGCTCTTTCGATCTATTAAAGTGGTTATAGAGCTATGTGACAACAAACTGGAGACATTTTCAGATCCTAGGGCCAATGGCTGCACAGTATTGTTGACAGGTAACTGAGAGCCTGAGCTGAATATTGTTGGCCACAAGCCATAGTCACGATCAGCTGATTTAACTGCTATTTGATGATGTGTATGACGGATTGGTGTATGAGGTATGGGTGCTGATGAATTATGGTTTTGAACCAGGTAGCACTAAGTGGCAGGGGGGGGTAGGCATAGGATGTGACTGTGGAGCAGAAGGTCTATGTTGGAATGGGGGTGTTGGTACATGTTATATCTGTTGTGGTGACAGATTGAAGTTGAAAGGATCAGGAAGATTTTGCATGCCATATATAGTTGCATGTCCACCATCTTGGTATGTGATCTTGTACTGGTTATCAAAGGCATGTGGCTTGCCAAGGGAAGGGGAAGTTGGATACCATCAATGACGAGTGAGATTTTCAACCATGCAATTGAGTGAAAGCTGTTGTTCTGTGCGATCAGCACACCATTCAGCTTCGTAAAATCTGTGCTGCCATTCCATGTTCTCTGCCCGCAAGTCTCTTATCTGCAATGTCATAGACAAGACCTAGGTCATATGAAATGACCATGCCGCACGATCCTCCCCACGAGCAGTCTGCACAGATGGATTGAAGCTCTGGCTGATACATGTCAGCACATCCAATGCTGTGGTAGATCTTGGCTTGCTTGTACGAGTTGGAGCTGCTGAAGGAAGATGTTCAACTTTGATAGCATGGGCAATAGGGTGCTTGGAAAAAGGACGATGGTTGGTGGCAACATCTCTGTCCTCATCATCCTCATTGAGATCCTCATCCTCATTATCAAGATAGTCAGTCAAGTCTTCATTGTCAAGGTTGCGCTGATGAGCATGCACCCACGCTAGGGTCCAAGGGAGGTATTTGGGAAGCTTTGGGGAGACACCAAACAGCGCTAGATGAGTACTAAAGATGCCAACTTGCACTGAACACAGTCGGCCCTCACCCAACCGACCATAACCCACCGAAGGACATTTGGCAGCACTTGGGTCAGTTTGCCCACATGACTGCATAGGAGTATTACGATAGGTGTTTACGAGATTGGAGCCAGTATTCTATGTTGGCCAATATGCTCCGTAAGTTGGTTAGTCCTTATTGCTTATCTTTCTGACTTCCACATGGTTGTTCAAACACGATCTTGCACCATTACTTGGCCACCCTGGTTGTACATTATGTCTTCTTTATTTTCATTGGCTTGCCAACACCTATTCCTGCTACCTACACTTGGGCAACGGATCCTGAACGTTTGGGATTTCACCATCGCTGATTAACTTTTATCTTATCACCTTCAGAACCCATATAGACATCTCACCTACCTTCTTATCTTCTCTGATTGCTAGGGCTTAGTGCCTATTCAACATATACTCTCATTTCGTGTTTGATATTTTACTTAGGGGATCTATTTACTATAAAAATCTACATACAACTCTGGAAAAAACCAGCTTTTGCACCACACAGTTCAGAGCTCATTCACACTCATCTCAACTATTGAAATCGTCTTTGTCGATTCCCAAAAACTTGTCATCTTCACCATTCAGCCTTGTTCGCATTTGTATTCGACTCTTTGCTCATACCCCTTATCCTCTCTTGTATATTGTCAGAGTCCCATGTGGCTCTTGAAGCACATAGTTGTTGGTCGCGACACTACCTTCTCGTTACTAACCAAATCACCAACACGACCAACTGAATGTTCAGTCGGTGTTTAGTGCAGTCCCAAAACCGTTCGGGCACTATAATCTCACACTCCTTGCTGCTTCTCAGTGTGCCATCAATTTCTAAAGTCATCACTAACAATTCCTTGTGTATCAGATACTAGCTCCAGCACCCCCTGCATTAGAGGTTGTTTTGGTGTTGTGCTCGGCACTTAGAGCCACCTCTAGCACATTACTAGGCCAAGTAAATTCTTGTCCTACTAAGGCTAATGTTCCTCTTTGTCTTGGATGTCCTGTAGCTAGATTGTCATGATTCATCTTGATTATTTCTTGATGAAGTTGTTTATTTTCAGGAATGTAGATTTTTCTTCTATGTAGAACAAGTCCTTCTTCATTGTTCTATTCCTGTAGGCCTTTCTTCATGCTATAAGGGCCTAGTTCCTTGACTTTGGCTAGAGTTTTGATTAGCCACTTGTCTTTCTGATTTGCTGCTATAATTTGTTTCTTAAGGTCTTTGTCAATAATCGTGATGCCTCCTCGTCCTGTGGCTCTGATGTGCCATATTCTGTGGGGGTCCAGTTCTTTCTTTGGGGTGATTTCGTTGATTTCTGCAGAAGGTCTCCGCCCCATTTCTTTTGCTTGATTGAAAATTTTGAGTTCCAAGAGCATTTTGCCTGAATTATCAAATTCCACCCCCTCTTTATGGTCTGGACACTGTGACAGACCATCAGATTTATTGGCTACTCTCGCCTTGTGCGTTAATTTGTAGTCAAAACGCGAGAGGAATAATGACCATCTTGCTTGCTGATGGTTCAACTTCTGACTTGATCTAAACCACCCCAAATTCTTGTGGTCCATCTATACATCTACCGGGTTCTCGGTGCCCTCCAAGTAATGTTGCCAAGCTTTGAATGCTTGAACGACTGCTAGCAACTCTTTATTGTATATGGGGTAGTTGCGTTCGGTGGGTGAGAGTGATTTGGAAATATAGGCACAGGGGTGCCATTTTCCATCTGGGGTGACTTGTGATAATGCTACTCCTGTAGCAAAGTCTGATGCATTGTATTTGATGCAGAAGGGGTTCCTAGTTTCTGGCATAACAAGCACTAGGGATAATATGAATGTCTTCTTGAGTGCCTGAAATGCTTCTTTGCATGCTGGTGTCCAATCCCAGCTGTGTTCCTTCTGTGTTAATTCAAATAGCAGCCTAGCTATTTTCAAGTAATCCTTGATAAATCTGCGATAAGAGTTGCAGAATCCTAAAAAATGATTGGACCTCCTTGAATTTAGTTGGAGTCAGCCACTCCGTAATTCCGGCCACTTTGATTGGGTCTATTTCCAAGTGTCCATGAGATATGACATATCCTAGATAGTCGATTTTCTTCTTGTGAAAATGACACTTCAAGAGTTGCAGGTATAAGTCGTTGTCCTGTAATATCTATAAAACCTGCTGCATTGTCTTGATGTGTTTGTCCATAGTCTTTGAGAACACCAGAATGTTGTCCATGTAGATGGCTACCTTTCCTTCATAGATAAGGTCCTTGAAAAGCAAGTTCATCATAGTTTGGAACATCGCTAGCGAGTTGGTGAGTCCAAAATACATCACTAGTGGTTTATACATTCCTAGATTTGTTACAAATGCTGCCTTGTGGACATCCTTCTTATCGATGAGTACGTTGTTATATCCTGTGTTAATGTCTACCAGTAAGAAGTATTCTGCCTCTGTCAAGAGATCCAGTAATTCTTGAATAATTGGTAGAGGGTACTTGTTCTTGATTGTTATTTTGTTAAGCTTCCAGTAGTCCATTACCGGCTGTAGCTTTCCATTTTTCTTCTTGATACAGAAGAATGGGGACACCATATGCGACTTGGATTCTCGAATGAATCCCTTCTTGAGACTTTCATCAATAAATTTCTTGAGCTCTTCTTGCTCCATCGGGCTGAGGCTGTATAGTTTAGGCCTGAGCAAGTGTTCCATGTTGTCCTTGAGTTCTATCTTGTGATCCCATGGTCGTTTGGGTGGTAATTTCCCTGGTTTTCATCCTTCAAAAACTTTCCTGTACTTCCAGTATACTTTGGGGACGATTTCTTCAAAGGGTAGTTTGGGTTTCCCTTTTGAAGCCTCTTCTGCCAATTTTTGCAAATTGGTGTGGTTGGTCTGTTTGCCTACCGCTGCTTTTTTAGGTTCTGCTTTACGTGCCAGTGTATTGGTGGTGGAGGTCTTGGTACAATGGATCTTGAATCCTTCATCCTGGTCATTGTATAACTCCAGGGCTTCCAATTGCCCTGTGTCCAGGCATCTGATGAGGTATACTCCATCTTTGTCTAGATCTGTAGAAGGTAGAGCCAATAGCGGTCCACCACCTTCCTGAGTCTCCTCTTTAGCCCATCTCGGTGCCATATAATGCTTGGCTTGGGTCCTGAGGTAGTACTCCAATTTTGTTCCTTTGGGTTGTGATCCCCAGATTTTAGGTATTATCCGCGGAAGTGGTACTGTAGTGTTTCCCACTTTCTGGCCTGACTGTCCTTTCCTTGGTTCTTAACGTCCTAGTTTCCTAAAAGCCCTCTTGGCTTTGATTGGTCTTCCGGTAATGTTGTAGCTAGGTGGGCACCTAGTAAAATGTAATCCATAGGCATGCCAGTTGACTTCTGGGTTGTGCTCTAACAACTAGTCGGTTCCTAAAATGACGTCTTCTCTCCTGATTTTGGCTATATAGAATTTTGCCGATTTGGTGTGTGCTCCCCCTTCTTCACCTAGAACTCGTAGTTTTAGTTCTGCAAATCTTGTGATAGGTCCTCCCTTGAACTCTGTGTTCTGGACCGTTGATATGCTAGACGTGGCTCTAAGTGCCAAGCACAACACCAAAACAACCTCTAATATAGGGGTGCTGGAGCTAGTATCTGATACACAAGGAATCATTAGTGAGGACTTTAGAAATAGATGGCACACTGAGAAGCAGTAAGGAGTGTGAGATTATAGCACCTAAACGGTTTCAGGACCGCACCAAACACAGACCGAACGTTCAGTTGGTTGTGTTGGCGATTCGGTTGGTAACAAGAAGGTAGTGTCGCGACCGACAACTACATGCTTCAAGAGCCACACAGGACTCTGACAATATACAAGGGAAGACGAGGGATACAAGCAAAGAGACAAGTACGGATGCGAACAAGGCCGAATGATGAGGATGACAAGTTTTTGGGAGTTGATGAAGACAATTTCAATGGTTAAGATGAGTGCAAATGAGCTCTGAACTGTGTGGTGCGAAAGCTGGTTTTTTCCAGAGTTGTATGTAGATTTTTATAGTAAATAGAGCCTCTAAGTAAAATATCAAACATGAAATGAGAGTAGATGTTGAATAGGCACTAAGCCCTAGCAATCAGAGAAGATAAGAAGGTAGGTAAGATGTCTATATGGGTTCTGAAGGTGATAAGATAAAAGTTAATCAGCGATGGTGAAATCCCAAACGTTCAGGATCCGTCGTCCAAGTGTAGGTAGCAGGAATAGGTGTTGGCAAGCCAATGAAAATAAAGAAGACATAATGTACAACCAGGGTGGCCAAGTAATGGTGCAAGATCGTGTTTGAACAACCATGTGGAAGTCGGGAAGATAAGCAATAAGTACCAACCAACTCACAGAGGACATCGGCCGATATGGAATACTGGCTCTGATCTCGTAAACACTTGTCATCGGTTGGGTAGGGACCGACCGTGTTTAGTAATAGTCGGCGTCTTTGGTACTTGTCTAGTGCTGTTTGGTATCTCCCCAAAGCTTCCCAAATACCTCCCACGGACCCTAGCATGGGTGCATGCTCATTACCATATTAACTGGTATGGGGTGGGGTGTTTTCTATGTGTAGATTTGATGCTTTTCCACAAATTTGGGGTGCATGAATATTCCTGTTGCTTCACTGTTAACTAGAGCCTGTGTAGTAGCCTTTCAATTCTTGCCTATGAGTTCCGTCTCGATCTGAAGTGATGGTGCACCATGTGTTTTCATTTTGGAGAGATACAATATGTCTGGATGTCCGTGCTTTTGGTCAGCTTCATTGCTGGCCAGAGGAGCATATCAATTTCCTGCAAGAATCCTACTTTTCACACCTGCTGCCGGTAGAAGAGACATTAAAAACCCTTTGATTCGCTGAATGTCTTGACTTCAGCGATTTTGTTGAGACTGAGCCCCATCATTGCTTGGTTGATGTGGGCTACCCTGTGCTTGGCTTCATCTTGGTAGTCGTCTTCTTCCTCCTCATCTACTTCCACTGCCCTCATTGTGCGGGGTCTTAGAAGGAATCTTCCTCTTTTAGGTGGAGGAAATCTTTGTTTGGGTTGAGAGGGACATCCGTACGCCATGTGCCCAGGCTTCTTGCATTAGAAGCGCTTTCCTTCTTTGGTGAGTCTGTTTTTTTCTTCTGGGGTAAGTCTCTTGAATTGGATGGCCTCGACATCCAATTCTGCTGTGTCCACATTCATGGGAACATATTGTGATTTCCGTTCTTGATGTGGGGTTGGGGCAAAGTTTGAGTAATAATTTGTCGGGATGAAAACTTGATATTTCCCCTGCCTGAGGTCTTGTGCATGCATTTCTTCTATGTACATGGTCTTGTGTTTCTTGGCCTTGGCCACTAGTTCATCCCAGGTGGCCTGTGCTGCTGGGGCCTGATAAATTCCTCAGGCCAATTCCCATTTGAGGCCCCTCAAGAAGTGTGTCTTCTTGGTTTCAAGATTAACCCCTGCTAGTTCAGCAATTTGCTCAAACAGCTGAAGGTATGTGTTAAAGGATTCCTTCCTTTAGTTGATCCTAGCCAGCTTATCTCTGGCATCTGCTGTCTTGTCAAATTCCTCGAAGTCCACTGATATTTTCTGATGGACCGAGGTCATGCATTCTGTGGGTTTCCATGTGTAGAGGTCCCAATCATTGTTTAAGTTCCTTGCTTTGGTGAGATTCTGCGACTATATTCTGGCTGATCCTCCTTTCATATAGGATAGTGCATACGCAATCTTTGTAAACTTGTCCGGGAAGTTGTGCTTCCTGGTGGGTATCATTAGGTCAATTTCATGAAGGAACTGCTCTGTTTGTTTCCTGTTTCCATCAAAGGGGGTGGGTTTGGCCATAGCTAGTCCCTTGGATCCAAGATCTCCAATATTTGTCAACATCTTACTGGTTGGGGGCTGCTTATTGTCAGGAGGCTCTCCATTTGTATCTAGTTCTTGAGTATGCTCTTCCCAGGGGCTTTCAACTGATGAAGGGGTTTGGAAGCTTGCTTGTGGAGAGGTTTCTTGTATTGGAATATAGCAGGTGTGTTTCTTCAAGAAAGTCAACTTCCACTGGCTGTTTCCTGGAGTACATTATATATGTGTGGTCTTAGTGAGTTATAATGCCTATTTGTCAGTGATTTAGGCTTGATTCTTCTGAGCTCGGTGATAATGATTGTGAGTGTAGTGGTCTGTAATTTGGGTGCGGCATGGATTTCTTTTTCTTTTCCAAGGAATGGCCTACTGTAAAATTCCTCCTTTCCGCTTCTTGTGTAGAATCCAGTGAGGATTCCTCTAATATAGAAGTGTCTGTTCTTCTCATCGCAATAAACGATGTCTTGGTCAATGTCTTTGGGTAAGTGTTTAAAGATGTAGATCGGGTTGTTATGGTAAGGGGGCGGGTATCCCTTTTGGACTGTTAACTCAATTGTTTATTCTGTGAAGTAGAAGGGGATCTCATGTCATCTTCCGGCCCTGAGTCCTTCTTGGAGTGTGGGTTCTCTTCTGATGATCTCATTAATTCCATTGTTGATTTGGTCCAAAAGTGTGAGGACTTCATTGAAGGTTTGTTCACTGATGAAACTTCTGAAATAATAAGTTTTGTGGGCAAACTCTCCTCTTCTAATAACTGATATGGTTCCACTAATTTCTGTTCTGTGAGGTGAGTATCTAGTAGGATCCAGCGTATCCTAGTTTGTGACTGTGTAGATCCAAAAAATGATGATGGCATATTTGTGCCTCTGTTGACACACTTGATGAGTTCCTATTTGATTCCTTCTGAATTGATGTCCTTGGTGATGTGTTCTTGAGGGAAGTGGACTGGCCTTCTGTTGTCAATGTCAATGGCATTCCTGGTGTGAATAATGCTGAGTTCTGGATCTCCAACTGTGGAGACTGGTGTCTTGGGTTTGTTGGTAAAGCAAAGCCCCCAAAAGGGGAATCTGATTCTTCCGTTGAAGTTGAAGAAGTAATCTTGTGCATGTTGTAGCCTGTAGGTTGCTACTCCTGCATATACTTGTCCAGTGACTGAGTATCTGGTCATGGTATTGACTTCTGTTAAATCTGGGTGTATGACCGGTGTGGTGGCTCTGGTGATGTGCTTGCGATGGCTCTGCATGTGAAAACACAACACAAAACACACCACTAAACATAGGGTAGGCGGGGAGCTGACTTCACTACAAATATTGAGAGACCCTTGTAAGTTGCAAGATAGGGCATGAGATATGTACTATGAGATATTAAGATATCTAGCAAGGTGATGCAAGGTTATGCAAGAATACTCTCATGTGAAACAAAGTGGTGGACTGTGGGCCAAGGCATGAGTGACCCAGGCAACTTCAAGGGCAGCAACGAAGGCCCTGACAATAGCGGCAATGAAGACGACGAGTGCTAAATCGAGCAAGTGTGATGTCGGTGCGATGCGATATGAGTGAGATCTTCGTGCAAAGTTGAGCTCTAAATAGAGGGGTGTCAAAAACTGGTGTATTGCAGTGTTATAGGCAGGTATTTATAGTAAGTCGAAGTAAGTATAGTAAACGTGAACTTGTAAGGTAAAGTAAATCGATATCGTGCCAAGACTGTAACATAGAAAGATAAAGAAAAACCACGTGCAGAGGTGCTCACAAACCGTGAGGTTCTGTTGTGCCATGGTTAAGAGACAAAGCGATATTTAGTAAAGAGGTGTAGCGGTGAGACGAGGTAAACTCTGGGAAGATGGAGGGGCAATGGATTACAGGACCTGTACTACCCAATAAGCGCACATGATAAAGCTCTCTGTGATATTGTGTCACGGAGCTGCTTGTAGTGCGGTCCGTGCAGTCGATGCTTGCAAGGCATATGGCGAGAGCTTGGCAAGGTCTTTGTGGGTGCAGCAGGCTTGAGGTCATTGTGTGATACATGTGGGGGCTGAGTGAGATGATGCGAGGCAATGACTGAGGGGTGCAAGACAAGACCGCATCGGCCCTATACCATAATGCTGAGGTTGTAGTGGGCATCGGAGGGAATTGCTCTGGGCTGTGGGGCCACCCGGCAGTGTCTGGGGTATTCCTTGAGGTCAGCATGCTAGTGCTTATAAAACTGCTGAGATACACGTGTGCTACAGAAGTTGGCTGTGCTCGGTGGCATCAAGGTGTGGCATGGGATTGACGTGGTGGCGTGGGGAAGTTGGTAAATGATGGTAAAACTGGCCTGAACGGGATGTCGTGGGTCGTGGGAGCAGAGGTGTGACTCAATGGCAGATGCAGTAAGTGATGATGGACACAAGTGGCGTAGGAAACATGCTGTGGCTGTCAAGGAAGCAGGTTGGTGCGGGGCCCGAGGTGCCGATGTGGCTGTGACTTGTTCCTGTTTGGTCAGGGTACACATCACCCAAGTTCAATGCACCATCTACTTCCGTCTCCCTAGTGTCCCTTGCCCCCTCTCAATCTAGCCTTTTCTCAATCATACTCTGCTTCCGCAAAAAGTCTCTCCTAATGCCATCATCCCTTGTCAATCTCCTTGTCTCCACCCTGTCTGACCTTATCACTGTGTCCCTCGAGCATCCCGCCGAGTTGGAGGACTTCATGACCTGGGGTCAAAACTTTGCCCATACCCTAGTGCGTCCTCTCTTTTCTCTATTTCTATTGTGCTGACCCTTCTCTCCTAGGCCAGACTAGAGGCGATTCCCTTATTTGAGCCTTCCCCACAGCTTGCAATCTGGCTTAATAGTGCTAAGGACACCCTCGAGACCTACATGACTAATGACTGGTTAGCGTGGGGGACACAAATCCTGCAGACACATGTGATGTGTCATGACAAGCGCATCCAGGCTGAGGTCACCGCCGCCACTACTGCTCAGGCTGAGGTCACTTGTGTTGCTGAGGTGGAAGCTCACCAGTTGGCCGATGAAGAGCGCATTGTGCGTGGAGTCACTGAAGAGGCGCGTTGGAAGGCTTGTGATTGGGAGATCATGGGCTTGTACGTGCGTGGTTTCATCTTGCGAGAAGAGAGTGAGCATCATCTGGCCAAGCTGCTGGAGACGGAGGCAGGACCTAGCATGGTGAGTGCCGAGGATTGGGTAGTGGGGCGTGATGGTGATGTCGAGATGGTGGCGCCCATTTTACGGAGGGCGACACTATTGACTCCTTGCAGGCATCAACCACGGCACTGTCCATACAAGAGGAGAGTCTTGTGCCATCCAGGACTGGGCTCTTCCTTCCCGATGGCGAGGAGGAGGTGGTGGAGCTGGATTGGAAAGGGAAGCAGCGCGAGGTCGTGGATGAAGAGCGGAAGGGCAAGCATTGCGCCCTGCCTATATGGATGTCTGTGAAGTCTCTGGTACAGTTGAAGGCCGAGGCTGATAGGGAAGCAGAGGAGTGTGCTGCAAAACGTCAGCAAAAGATGGATGGGTGTTCTATCATCCCTGGTTAGTTGCCTCCCAGCGCGCAGCAGGTGAGCTCCTTTCCCTCTCCTTTCCCCTTTTTTTATCCTCAGATTTCCCTAGGCCAAACCACCCTGCACCTATTGTTCCCACTTCGTTACCCCCTTTGTCTGTTTCCACGTCCTAGGTGATGTGATGCACTGCCTCAAGTGTCGCCGTGATCACAAGTCATGCAACGGTCCCCGTCAATAGATGAAGCTCCTTTCGACCCCTTTGGACATTGCCCCTCTTCCTCTCCCTTCCTCTCATCCTGTTCCTCGCGTTGTGCATGATCTTTCCACCTCTACCTCCTCTGCTCTTCCTCCACTTGTTGCTTCTTCCTCTTCTGCCCGCTTCCTTCCCAATGACCTTTGTCAGCCTGCTTGTTGCTTGGCTCACGTGATGCGTGGTAAACTCTGGACTTGTCAGATAGTGGACCGCAACATCGAAATCCTTCGTTGGCAGATGGCTTGGACTGAGAGTGAGGTCCGCTATTTGTTGTCCGAGCATGAGGTGCGCGGAACTGAGCTCGCCAAGCTGGAGCGTGCTTGCACATTATTGCCGGAGGGGTCAGAGGATGAGGATGAGGATGGCGAGGGTAGTGTGGAGTTGGTGCTCAACTAGCATCTCGGATGCTTTTAGATGTAATATATAAGTTTTAATGAAAATGTAAAAGTACTTCTTTCTTGGTTTTAGTAATATCTGTGATAAAATCGGGAAGAAACACTTGAGTAAAGTCTCACTAGATTCTAAAGGTTATTTGGTGAGTGAGAAATGTCAGAAATAAGTTAAAACGTATTACATGTGGGGTTGAAGCCGTTATATAATAGGGATCTGTTGTAGAGGTCTCGATGGTAAGTAATAACATTATAACTGGAATTTGAGAGAATATAGAAATTAGTAAAAGCCTCAGTAGATCATCACAGGCATAAAACCCTTTGGTTTTGCGCAAATCCGATAAGGTTCGTTAATGCAACTTTGAAATGAAGAGGAAATGCTGGATGTGAGAAACGTTGAATTAACTGTGCGATATTTGCTAGTCTGAGTCTGAAGTGTAAAAATAGTCGTAAGCTTGCTGCAAAAAAGATTGGGATGCAAAAAATAGGGTATCATAGCTGGTCCTTCTCTTCCCTACTAAAATCTGGGCTGTCCTCAGTCACATTGCCCAGCGTGAGAAGGGAGGGTAGGTGGGCTTGTTGGTATCAGACACTGTGTCAATATCCTATTACATGGCTTCATCCTCCGAGTTGTCCTTCTCATTGCTGCGGAGGCCCTCCTCTTCAGGATCCTTGTCTGTGGTGGCCTTCATCTTGTGCAGTCATTGTGCAGAGATGTCAAGGAGTGTGTCGAGGTTAGGTATGTCAAGCTTCTTGCGAGCAAAGTAGGGGATGACACAGAAGGCTGCAATCAGGCAGTCAAGTACTGAGCCATCTAATTATGTGAGAATGTAAGCACTACCGCGATTCTAAGATATAACAAGAGGGGGTCCCAAGTAGCAAGGTCGTATTTTGCGGTTTAGGGCCTTCTTGATGGCGGTGTTACAGATGAGGACGAGGTCTCTGAGATCGAAATGAAATGCTCGAATTGTTACTTGGTGGTCGGTCTCGAATCAGATAGTGGCTTTAACTCGTGCTGCAATGACTGCAGTGCGGAGGCAAGCGAGGTTAGAGCAATGCTTTTGGAGTGCGATTGCTCAGCAGGCGATGAGGTCAGTGGTTGACAATGTCTTGGATGGTGGTGAAAGGAGGTACATTGCTTCCGCTATATTGAGGGGCAGGAGAGGATGAGTTCCCAGCACTGCAAAGTATGGTGAGCAACCCATGCGATGCTGGACAGTGATGCGATTGGCCCAGAAAACAAACAGTGCCACTCTATTCCACTTCAACTGATCCCCATCAACCGCCTTGAAGAGAGCTTGTCGGACATCGAAATGCGGCCTTTTGACAATGCCGTTGGCGCGAGAATTGTACCCCAATATTCAAATGTGCAAAATGTGATACTTCTTGGCAAGATGGGTGAGAGCTTTCATCTGGAAAACCACTCCTTTGTATTAAGCTCTAATTAGTTCTATTTATGCATAATGAAGAACGATTAGGATTAGACATTTTTAGCTTACCCCCCCCTCTAAACCTGTTCTGATTAGACATAATTTTCCTAAATTAGGAATTATTAGGATTCATTATAACTTGAAATTTCGGAAAATCATAATAAATCAAGCATCACAGTTCTCATAGCCTTCTTATAGAGTCATGTCTATTAGAGCACTAGTTTAATACCTAAACACAAAATATACCTTATAACAAACTTGCCTTCTGCCAGAGTTAAACCAACAACCTCATGTATGCAAGCACCCAGGACAGATGCTCTAAGCCACTAAGCCACAAGGTCTAATATATAAACTTGGCAATCTAAATAAGTAGATATAATATAGGCAACCTCAACATCTCTAATTTTATTCAACATTTATCTTTCCTCTATCTTATAAATAAATAGGTCAATAAATACCTAAAAAGTCAGGTCTTTCAGGATTTAGTTTAAACATCAGCTAAGAAGATAATAAAACAATGAAAAATCGATAATACACTTTATATAGGATAAAAATAAATTATAGCACTTATACAATTAGGACTGAGAATGTGTAAAACTATGATTGAGTGTAATATTCAATGGGACTCTACTAGTATAGACAATGCTACCTGAATTTGCAAATTTGATCAAAAACATGATCATAAATAATTAAGATCCAATTAGAGAGAGGGATTTTCCAAATAGCCACTAGTGAGGTAGAGGGTGGGGACAAGAGTATATGTATGGCATGCCTATATATAAATAAGCATAAGATTGTTGGAGGTGATCTTAATATGCTTAATGCATATATTTTCTATATGGCAGGCAAATATATCATTCTGGCACCACATACCAATATGACTGTCTTTTCCACAGCCTAATAGCTAGAGAAAAACACCAAGTTTGAGCATCTTCTATATAACAAGGCAATAAACAATATAAATAGTGCTAAAATTGCAATATCAATAGTGATGATGATTGTGTGCTGCACAAGACAGTATTAGCCACTATACTAATAGACAAGGTCTATAAGGCTGCATATAGCATATCCCTAAGTCTAACCCACATGTTGTGTCCTATAATGACCAGTAGCAGGCATTGGCTAACAATGACAACTTTAATGATCTTGTGTGCAAGGACAAGGTACCTAGGTATTTATAGCCTCTTATGGCAGCTGCCAAGCTGCCAACAAAGTGGCTGGGGGCATCAATGCATATTTCTCTCTTTTGATATCCCTTTTAAAGGCAGCTGGAAAGTTAGCAAAAGAGCTACAATATAATGGTATAGGCATATATGAAGGAGAGTAATATGCTGAAATAGTATAGAATGTGCCACATCTTTACCTTCTCACTGATAGAGCAGTAGTACTTACTATTTCCTACTGATAATTAAAGACTTTTTAGTATAGAATTAGTGCTAATATTATGAAATTATAATCCAATCCAATGCTCACAATGTATTGCTCCCAATTAGGAAATTAGATACTTTTAGATACTATTAACACTTTTAGATACTTTTAGACACTATTAGATATAATCAGGAGCTAATACAAGGGGGTATTTTTCTAGATGTTGACAAAGGCTGGTCTGTTATTGGAAACGATCTTGACGAGGGTGCCCCAGCAACAGAGAATATCCTCGGAGATCCAGTTGGCAAGGGCGGCGTTAGTCTTGTTGTGGAGCATGTGGAACTCGGGATAGTGCAATATTGAGCATCGACCTTGAACGAGGTATTGGAAGCCTCCTGCCATTGGCATGTGCATCGTGTCCATATATATTTTGGCAAAGAGAGTTGCCGGCAATGCAACAACTGGAGGGATCAAGACGTTGCGCGTTTGTTGAATCTGGCAGAGATAACATGAGCGAATGAACTAAGCGATGTCTTGCCTCATAAGCAGCTACCAGAATCTTTCCACGATGAGGATGCAAGTGGCAAAGAAGCCCTTGTGCGCGACGTCGTTGTGGGCCAAGGCAAGAATGGAAATGTGGTGGGTGGGCAGCGTGATGAGCTTGTGTCGGCCTTGAACATCTTTCTTCCATAGCTTGTCTGAGGCGAGGAAGAATTCAGTGCAGTATCGGAGGAATGTTGTGTACTCAGCGTTAGATAGACCGCTTGGGCATGTGAGGTCGGAATGCCATTTCCTGACTGCTACGATCTGGTCATCTGCCAATATTGCTGTGCTGGTGTGAGGAATGTCAGAGTAGTTGAGAGGTAGAGGGATGTTATTGTTAATGTTAGTGGTGGTGTTCATGAGAATGGTGAGGCACTGGCACGCTGACGGCGGTGGTTGAGGGTTGTTTATTTAGTGCATAAAGCTGTGGAGGTTGCTGATCCAGTCTTTGAAGTTGTTGTCAGCCTTGGGACAATTGCCTGGCTGTGGTGGTCGACAAGAGAGACCATCGGGCCCATGCAAGGCGCCGGGAATGCGGACGAGGGTAAAATGGAATGTGAGGATGGCAATGATCCAGCAATTAATGCTCGCACTTGGTTTAAGATCTGGATTTGTTAGCATTCCTTTTATATATCTTGCATCTACCTTGATGACCAAGTTACGGATCCCGATGAGGTACATCTTGAGAGCTCGGAGAGCACGAAACAGGCCATAGAGCTCTAGTTTTGGCTGCGAGAATCTTGACTCACGGTCGTTTAGGGTGATGGAGCTGAATCTGGCATAGTATTGGATTCACGGATTGTCGAGGTCACACTGGCAGAAGTGGAATTTGACTGTGAGGTGCAAGGTGTCGACTATGAGGATGACATTGGCTAGTGAGGAATAGTCAATTGGACGGAGGGCGGGCAAGGAAAGGAGTGCTAATTTGAGATCGTCTTGCGCCACAATCTGTTCAGGTCTAAAGATAAAAGAGAAGTCTTTTCGAGTGAGCATTGTTAAAGGGTGTGCTCGATGGGCAAAGTTACGAATGAAGATGTGGATGACACCAATCATTCCAATGAATGCTTGTACTTATGAGAGATTGCAGCAAGGTCCCCAGTTGACTATCTTCTCAACTCAAGATTCCTCAGGAAGTCAGCCCTCATATATGCAGCGGTGCCTGACAATGATGATCTCGGGCATGCAAAGCATCGCTTTATAACCCAAAAATGTCCCGCTGCAGTATTTCATGTGCTAGACGACTCAATTAATGCCTTAAAAGTGTTCCCAAACAAATCACCTGATGCCGGGATTGTTGGGGTATGTCTTGTAACCACCATTGGGTGTCTTGTATCACATGGCTGGACCTTGGAGGGGAACATCATCAATGAAGGGTATTGTTGTGTTGGGAATCTTGGGCTGCAAGATGTGAGTAACATCATTATGGAAAATGGGCACTAAGTTTGTCCATCCCATCGGAAGGGTGACGAGACAATGTGCTCCGAATGGTGATACGCTAGTGACGCCTCTGAGTGCAAAACACACCCAAGAAACACCCCTACAAGTGCAGGTAGGTAGGAGCTGGTTCTAGTGTGCAAGGAACTATAAGCTGTGCAACAACCAACAAGGGAGCATACTAAAAGTGTTTGGAATATAGTGAACAAAAAACTTCAAAATCAAAATATTTGGTCAGTTGGTCAGTTGGTTGGTTAGTCAGTTGGTCAGTTGGTCAGTTGGTCAGTTGGTCAGTTGGTTGGTTGGTTAGTTGGTGTTTGACCAGGATTTGATTGGGACACAAAGGGAAGGGAATGGGTGCAAGGCCACACTGGACACTGGCAGAGGATGACAAACTAGATGAGAGGAAGAGAGCAAGACAACAAGGGCTCTGATGGAGGGCTGTGATTGAACACAACAACACAAACAAAAGGGCAAAATGTGAACAAGGATTGGAAGGCAATGGCTCAAAGTCTCATAGACACAAGCGCACAAATGGGATTGGAACAAGGGGGGAGCCAAAGCTAGTGTATTGCAAGGCCATAGGTGCACTTTTATAGTAAGTCTGAACAGGTACAAGATAGGGAGATCGGCAGAGGCATAGAGCAATCGAAAATGTGTGCCAAGAAAGATCAAAATAAGTGGAGAGATTGCCAAGGTGAGTGCACATGGACCTGGAGATAAGAACCACATGCCACATGGGTAAACCATTTAGAAACTTGGGAGCTCTGAAGATAATGAAGAATAGGTCAACAGAAGGCATAAGGATGGTAAGAGATAGAAAGACAGATCCATTCCGAGTCAACAAAGTGTTCGGCTGCCTCTGATTTGGGACATCAAAGCTGACAGAATGTGCTAACCATGAGAAGCATACCGAACCAATTGGCAATCGGCTGCAACAGTCTGTGGAGAGCCCCTACTGCTGAGAGTGATGATAGATGGATAGGATGACTGTGAACAGCTCCAAACAACTGTGTGGAGGTCTAAATGGAAAATTGGCACTTGACAAATGGATGAGATTGCTGAACGGATTGGGATTGGTTGGTCCTAAGTGTGCTGAACAGTCAAAGAATACTGAAAAGCTGCAAAAAGTGGGGTATTGGTACCTAGAGCATACCCATGCTCATCAATGGGGTCTGGAATGTTGTGTAATTGCGTGATTTCTCATTGAGACCTTGCTTGTTGTACCCAATATAGAGATCAAAAATCCCTCTGCAAGTGTGACCTGCAAACTGCTTAGTAATTTGATTGGTATACGGAGGCACACCTGAGTGCTGTATGGTGACCACATTGAGTGGTTCGAGGCTGTGGACAATACAGAGTTTTGTGCCGGTTGTGGTGCTGTTGGTCTTTTTCACAACTGTGAACCAGCAAGATCGGTACAAGGAGTTTGAAGGCTTGTAAATGCCAGCCGCAATCTTGGTTTTGATTAACCAACAGACCTCATTGTAGATTCTTGGCGGGATTGGCATATTGTGTTAGACACATGGCTTGTGCTCGATAACAGGCATGCTAACTGGGGGAAAGAAATCCTCATGGAAATGTCCGCATTCTGAGTCATCCCAGGCAAACCTGAGATGTTGAAGATACATGAAGTGGTGCATAAGCTCACACTCTGCTGGCCAGAGAAAGTCAGAGGAGTGTACTTGGTTGATCAGGTCACGTCGTTTGGAGATATATTGTCCAGTCGGTGCGAATGGAGGGGGGTTGGGCGTGAGTGTTGGTAGGCCTGCAAGGGGGTCGCCTCGAATGTTACAGACAATGCGAAATTTGTCAGGAAGGTCAGCTAGCACTAGGCGGACTTCTAAAGCAACAGGCTTGTATTTTTGTTTGGCTGCAAAAATTGTGACTGGGCTAGAGAGATTCAGTGGTAACATCGAGCAAGGCAAAATGAGGACTGAGCAGCAAAAAGCAATATGAGATAGAGATGTAGATGGGGGCAGGAGAGAAATGGGGGACAAAATAGAACCAAGAGACATAGCATGGAGAGACTTGTAGAGGAGAGATGGAGAGATATTTTTGAGGGCTTCATGCCATGGATTGCAGGCTGAGAGATAGGCAAGACTAATATTGAGGGGACGAGGTGAGCATGAGAATGGAGCAATGGCTTCAATATGAAAGGAATTCTGGGTATATGGATCTTCAGCAATAACCAAAGTGGCCTCTCCTTGATCGTCAATCAATTCCTCAAGTCCCAAAAACCCGAGTTGTCATGGTAGAGAATTCTTGGAGGGCCTTGTCGAACCATTGGGATCATTGCCTTCCATCTGGTGTTCGGGTTGCTTATTGTGATCATCTGGTCTTTATTGGCAAAATTCTTGACAACACTCGTGGTGAGAATGTCGAAAGGTTGACCGAAGAGCATATTGTAGGCAGGGTTGCAAATGATGTGTACCTGGAGGTAGAGAGTAATATTGCCTATTAAGAGGGGGACGTTATATGTGAGACTGAGGGATTTGTCAATCTCTTCATTAGCCGATTGCATATTGAGGACGACCTCTGGATCATAGATGAGGGCAAGCTTGTTGCAGATACCATCTGACATTGCTATGACTTGTGAGCCTGGGTCGATAACGCACTCAACAAGTTGCTGGTGGTCAATGAGGGGTATGATTGATCTTAAAGCAGAGGATTCTTTAGCGACGACGAGCGGTTGGGGAGTCTGACTGGGTGAGAGCGAGCTAAGATATTGTTCGTAACAATTGGGCACCACGAGAGATCCCAGTGGAGGTGTCTCTGGTTGGTGGATTATGTGTGTAAAGGAGGAGACTGTCAATGTTGATGGGTCAAGGTCGTCGATTGCATAGGGGAGTTCCATGTCTTGGTACAATGTCCTGACTTGATTCGGGTCTTTGGGAGGTGTCCTCCTTGCCGATGTTGCCTCACGAACTTGAGATCTTACTTTTGGGGTGAGCAAGAGGAGTTTGCGCTGAGTAAGTGTCACTTGTGTCGACATTGCCTGATTATAGACCTTGGAGGTGACTTTCTCATCATAGATGGGTGCCATCGTCTTGTATGCCAGACCGTCTTTCTTGAATGCAGAACCATTGGGCAGTGCCCCAATGTTATAATCGTGAGGTGGCGTGTAGGTGGCGTTGGGGGTGTTGGCAAATAGGTGGACTGGAGGTTCTGCTAGCGCCGGTGCACAAGGTCTTGTCGAGGCTGCGGCTTGGTGGGCTGGCGCTTCTTGAGGTACCACCGGGGTAGGAGACATTGAGTGGCAGTTGTCAACCTCAGGTGTATCTTCCCAACTGTCGCGGTCGACCTGGGCCTGGGATCACGTTCTGATGCTTCCTCGGGTGCATAGCACGAAAAGCTTGTGTTCGAGGCTTTGAATCCTCTCAACATCCGTTAACTGGTATATGGCAGTTGCATCGAGGAGCAAGGGAAAATTATGTCGGGAGGCAATGCTGACTGATGGTGCTGGTGGGGAGTTGATGGTGAACATCATTGAGCCAGTGGCAATCTGGCTGGGGTTGTGACAGTGCCATTCATTGACACAATCCTTGAGGCTGTTACCCAGTAATGAGCATGCACCTGCGCCAGGGTCCAAGAGAGGTATTTAGGAAGCTTTGGGGAGATACTGAACAGCACTAGATGAGTACCGAAGACGCTGACTTGCACCGAACACAGTCGGTTCTCACCCGACTGACCGCAACCCTCCGAAGGATATTCGGCAGCACTTGGGTCAGTTTGCCCATACTTCATGTACTTACCATGATGGCATAGGAGTATTACAATAGGTGTTTACGAGATCGGAGCCAGTATTCCATGTTGGCCGATGTCCTCTATAAGTCAGTTGGTCCTTATCGCTTATCTTCCCAACTGCCACATGGTAGGTCAAACGTGATCTTGCACCATTTTACTTGGCCACCTTGGTCATATGTTATGTCTTCCTGATTTTTCATTGGCTCGCCAATGCCTGTTCCTGCTACCTACACTCAGGTGATGGATCCCAAACATTTGGGATTTTGCCATTGCTGATTAACTTTCACCTTATCACCCTCAGAACCCATATGGACATCTCACCTACCTTCTTATCTTCTTTGATTGCTAGGGCTTGGCATCCATTCGACATCTACTCTCATTTTGTGTTTGATATTTTACTTAAGAACTCTGTTTACTTTAAAAACCTACATACAACTCTGGAATAAACCAGCTTTCACACCCCACAGTTCAGAGCTCATTTGCACTCATCTCAACCATCGAAATCGTCTTTATCGACTCCCGAAAACTTGTCATCCTTGTCGTTCGGCCTTGTTTGCATTCGTACTCATCTCTTCGCTCATACCCCTTGACCTCCCTCATATATTGTCAGAGTCTCATGTGGCTCTTGAAGCACGTAGTTGTCAGTCGCAACACTACCTTCTTGTTACCGACTGAATTGCCGACACAACTGACTGAACGTTTAGTTGGTGTTCGGTGCAGTCCCAAAACTGTTCGGGTGCTATAATCTCACACTCCTCGCTGCTTCTCAGTATGCCATCAATTTCTAAAGTCCTTACTAATGATTCCTTGTGTATCAGATACTAGCTCCAGCACCCCTACATTAGAGGTTGTTTTGGTGTTGTGCTCGGCACTTAGAGCCACCTCTAGTGTATCACCAGGATTTCTCGCAGTACAAATATGCCTGTCAATAATACGATCCTCCCTTCTGTGTTCTTCTTGCACTTCCCAATCCTAATATATTCAGCAACCTTACCGTATTTACGTACAAAATAATTGGGTCCTCCACAAAACATGCAGCGGTCTAAGCCACTGGGATTGCAATGCGTGCATGGTGGCTGTGACATTGTCGAGCCTTGTGCGGGCTGGTTCATGAGTGCTTTGACGAAGGTTTCAGCGATGCATTTAAACATGGTGGCAAGGTCCTCAGTTTTTATCAATGGTTCATTCCGCAAGTCACACGAGAACTGTTAGAGGAGGCAAGTTGAAATGTCGAAGAGGTGCCATGTAAGATAAATCTCGCAGCATTATGAATGTCTTGTAACTAGTACGGGTCATCAGGAAAGTGATCCAGGAACTTGAGCTGGAAGCGTTGCAAGATGCGGCCCCATAATTCGGGCTGAAATCCACGGGTAAAGGTGCGACCTTGTTTGGTGGTGGAAATGCAATCCTTGCTGAGGAGGAAAGAGGTGATCACGAAGAACTAGTGGTAGTACTTGCCTAGATTGCTGAGCAATAAAATCTCTATTCTGCTACTTTCTCCAACCAACTTGTCCATATCCACCACTGACCATTTCCTCTCTTCTTCTGATCCTGGGTAGAGGCAATAAACTGCCTTGCAAAAATCTTCGTAGGACATTGCGGTGTTGGTGTACTGGGCCAGGGTTTCCCAGAGCTTGCAGGTGTCGACATCGAGGAATCGGCAGGTGTGTTTTTTGCATTCTGTAGTGTCAATGACTATAGATCAATTGAAGTGGAATTTGAGGTCCAAGAAGTATCGCCAGAGTTCCTGAGGTTGGCAAGGGTCAAAAGTGGGTGTGGTTCTATTGCCGTGGGCTGGCATGAAAGGGGTAGTCATAGTGCTAATGTGAGGTGGGTGTGAAGAGGTTACGGGTGAACACAATATTGAGGGTAGAGTAAAAGTGGGCATGGGAAAAGTCGGGGTGGAATTCTCGGGAGTGTGACTAAGCAATGAAGATATCAAGTGATGGCAGGATAAGATCAGGGATGGCGGAGTGGATTCTAGCTGGGCCAGATCGAGCAATGGGGAGATGGGTGTAAGTTGAGTACAATTTGGGAATAAAGGAGGTGTTAGGAAGAATGAAGTTTTGAGTGGGGGTGAAGGTGATAAAGGAGTTGGCAAGTTATCTAAGTCAAGAAGATGATGGTGGGAGAGATGGTAAGGCACAATGTCAGCATCTGTGAATAGGCTAAGATCGGCGTCGAGTCCGAGGTTACTGAAGCTGGCGATAAGTTCTTGGATCTTGTTGCATTCGGCGGTGGGTTGAGAAGATCATTGGAGGTCCCTCAGTGGAATTTTAAAAGTCAACCCCTTGTGGTGGGCTCCAAAATGATGTGCTTGCGATGGCTCTGCATGCGAAAACACAACACAAAACACACCACTAAACACAGGGTAGGCGGGGAGCTGACTTCACTACAAATATTGAGAGACCCTTGTAAGTTGCGAGATGGGGCATGAGATACATACTGCAAGATATTGAGATATCTAGCAAGGTGATGCGAGGTCACATGAGAATATTCTTGTGTGAAATAAAGTGGTGGACCATGGGCCAAGGCACGAGTGATCAAGGCAGCTTCAAGGGCAGCAATGAGGGCCCTGACAATAGCGGTGATAAAGGTGGCGAGTGCTAAATCGAGCGAATGTGATGTTGGTGCGATGCAATATGAGCGAGATCTTTATGTAAAGTTGAGCTCTAAACAGAGGGGTGTCGAAAACTGGTGTATTGCAGTGTTATAGGCAGGTATTTATAGCAAGTTGAAGTGAGTATAGTAAACACGAACTCGCAAGGTAAAGTAAATTGATATCACACCAAGACCATTGATGAGCATGGGTATGCTCTAGGCATCGATACCCCACTTTTTGCAGCTTTTCAGTATTCTTTGACCATTGGCAATCTCAGCCATTTGTCAGGTGCCAATTTTCCATTTAGACCTCCACACAGTTGTTTGGAGCTGTTCACAGTCATCCTATCCATCTATCATCACTCTCAGCAGTAGGGGCTCTCCACAGACTATTGCGGCCGATTGCCAATTGGTTCGGTATGCTTCTCATGGTTAGCACATTCTGTCAGCTTTGATGTCCCAAATCAGAGGCAGCCGAACACTTTGTTGACTCGGAATGGATCTGTCTTTCTATCTCTTACCATCCTTATGCCTTCTGTTGACCTATTCTTCATTATCTTCAGAGCTCCCAAGTTTCTAAATGGTTCACCCATGTGGCATGTGGTTCTTATCTCCAGGTCCATGTGCACTCACCTTGGCAATCTCTCCACTTATTTAGACTTTAGAGTTATTGCTTCTTATCTTATAGTGTTTGCAATATCACTCCCTTATCTTCTTTACCTTTGATCTTTCTTGGCACACATTTTCGATTGCTCTATGCCTCTGCCGATCTCCCTATCTTGTACCTGTTCAGACTTACTATAAAAGTGCACCTATGGCCTTGCAATACACTAGCTTTGGCTCCCCCCTTGTTCCAATCCCATTTGTGCGCTTGTGTCTATGAGACTTTGAGCCATTGCCTTCCAATCCTTGTTCACATTTTGCCCTTTTGTTTGTGTTGTTGTGTTCAATCACAGCCCTCCATCAGAGCCCTCGTTGTCTTGCTCTCTTCCTCTCATCTAGTTTGTCATCCTCTGCCAGTGTCCAGTGTGGCCTTGCACCCATTCCCTTCCCTTTGTGTCCCAATCAAATCCTGGTCAAACACCAACTGACCGACCGACCGACCTACCGACCTACTGACCAACCAACTGACCTACCAACTGATCGACCAACCAGCCAACCAACCGACTAACTGACTAACCAACCAACCAACCAACCAACCAACTGACTGACTGACTGAATATTTTGATTTTGGAGTTGTTTGTTCACTACACTCCAAACACTTTTAGTACACTCCCTTGTTGGTTGTTGCACAGCTTATAGTTCCTTGCACACTAGAACCAGCTCCTGCCTACCTGCACTTGTAAGGGTGTTTCTTGGGTGTGTTTTGCACTCAGAGACATCACTAGCATATCTCCGTAACATAGAAAGATAAAGAAAAACCACGCACAAAGGTGCTCACAGACCACAAGGTTCTATCATGCCATGGTCAAGAGACAAAGTGATATTTAGTAAAGAGGTGTAGCGGTGAGACGAGGTAAACTCTGGGAAAATGGAGGGGCAATGGATTACAGGACCTGTACTACCCAATAAGCGCACATGATAAAGCTCTCTGTGATATCGTGTTACGGAGCTGCTTGCAGTGCGGTCCATGCGGTCGATGCTTGCAAGGCATATGGCGAGAGCTTGGCGAGGTCTTTGTGGGTGCAGCAGGCTCGAGGTCATTGTGTAATACGTGTGGGGGCTGAGTGAGATGATGTAAGGCAATAACTGAGGGGTGCGAGACAAGACCACGTCGGCCCTATACCGTAATGCTGAGGTTGTAGTGGGCATCGGAGGGAATTTCTCTGGGCTGCGGGGCCATCCGGTGGTGTCTGGGGTATTCCCTGAGGTCAGCATGCTAGTGCTCATAGAATTGCGAAAAACGGGGTCCCGGCACTTAGAGAGGTGGCATGCTCATCACTGGGTCGGGCAATTCCTTGTTGGATTGCTTTGCTAATTCTGGTTGCTATAACTGTTCTTCGGTTTGTTCTTCTACTATCTGTCGAGCTAATTTGGCTAGTAATTAGAGAGTAGGTCATTCCAGGGTATGTTAGGGCAGAGAATAAAGAGCTCATTCAAGTGTTAAGCTGCTAGGCTTATCATGTGCCCTTGTCACACTAAAAAGAGTTCCCTGGGCTAATCGTGATAGTGACGGCCCAACGTATAAAGACAACCGATTGTCTTCAAGCTTGGTTCAGCAATTCTTGATCACTATTGATCTTGTTCTTGAATAGATGGCGGAGGTGCTGGTTAACTAAATGTTGTTGTTCTTCTGGTACGAACAAGTCTTCTCTAATACAACAGATGACTTTGGAGGGATCTCAACAAATGACTCGATAGGCAGTGAGTCCTTGATAGGTTGCAGGCGGTAGAGGATGATAAGAGCTTTGAGACGAGTCCAGTGCTTTGTCAGACTGATTATGGTTCTATGGATCTGGCAGAGTTCACGAAGCATGGGCTGAAGGGGCCAGATGCCAGGTGTAGTGTAGAGATTGAGATGTATACAAAGTAAATGAGCTGATCTTCTAAGAAGCTCAGCTCTCCAATTTATAGTACATGCTATTTAGGGTAGGACAAACATATGGCCTGTGCTTCTAAATGCTAAGTAATCCGCAGTCATTGTTCATACTCTGCGGCTCTTCAATGTAACCATATATAGTAAGTATATTGAATGTCTGTCCGCAGTAATGTTCTAATGAAACTTGATCATGATCGACATTAGTAACCATAACAAGAAGGAGGTCATAGTATCGTAAGCATTCATGTGTTAGCATGTAAATGGTAACCAGCTTGAGTCCAAGTCATGTGCATAGCTCATAATCATGTCCTGAGTCACATGCTTAGACGCGTGTCAAGTCACAGTCCTAGTTGTTAATGTCTAGTCAAGGGTGAGACACCTGACCTTCCCTTCTGTCCACGTGCCAAGCATGTGTTAGGACATGATCCTAACAATGACTATATTGGTCTGCTATTGTAAACACATATGTATAAGGTATCTTGGGACAGATTGTATAAGGCTGTGAGCTGCTCTAAGCCTAATAGGATATAGCTGACCACTAATAGAGTACTAAGAGAAGGCTGCAAACATATTATGAATAAAGTGATTAACCTATAAAAAAGGTGTAAAAATGGGGGCCTTTGTTATGATCTAGTCTATTAGAGCCTCTTTGGCTATCTATGCTAATAATGATCATCATAACTACTAGATAGCTCCAATTACAGAGTGTATATTATAGTATAAGGTAGCATCCCTAGTTACCAACTTCTAGTGAATATCACCATTGCTAGTTAAGTAATATAGAATATAATATGGATGGCTAATATGAGCTTACATGCAAATACTCATAGAGAAACACAAGCCACTGTACTCCTAGTTAAAAGAAGATAATTGGAGAAGCACAAGAGTAGTAGCTGAGAAAAAGCAGTGACTTAGAGATATGCTTGGGGAATACATATGGCATTCTTATGTCTTTCCAAAGTAGTATAAAAGGCCTATAGAATAGGCTAAGGATTTTTAGTTTATTCTCTTCATTAAATACAGTCCCCTAACTATATCCTTTTATACTCAGACAGTCTCCATACTGTCTATTTTAATATCATTCCTTCTTATACCTTTGTATAGCTGAGACCATTGTCCCACTCTTTTTCATTGTGCAATCTAGGGAAGAACTTACTACTCTTGAGGTTATTGAACAAATAGTTTGTAATAGCCTTGGCACTTAGAGAGGTGGCACATTCATCAGTGTATAGAGATTTCTAAGGTTAAGGATGTTGAAAAAAGGATTGTAAGTGCTATATAAGGACTGCTAAAGTTATTTAGCATGTTATTTGATTAATACAATAAGAAAATATAATGCAAAAGATATAAAAATTAATATAAAAGCTTGTAGAGATTTTATAGGTGCTACAAGATTACATAATACGAGTATTTGAGATTACTTGTGCATAAGACCATACTAGTTGTTCCTAAGTTATACCATAGCTGAAATCTATGCTATAAAGATAATAAAATTTAGAGGATCAGTACACAATATAGAGGCCTGCTTATTAGTCTTACCAATATACAGTGCCGGACAAGCAAAGTCGACAATTTTGCTAACTCCCCAGGCGGAATTTTTTGGGACAAACTGAGTTCAGATTCGGACTCAGGGAAGCAAAAGGAGTCAAAAAATGCCCTTTATGGAATTTCCCACGGTAAAATGGGGGTGGCCAATTTTTTGAGTGAAAAAAACAAAATGTAATTAGGCCTAAAATGGCATCAGAGTCAATCTGAGTCAATCTCAGGTCAGCATTGCATCAACAGACATCATTGTGCACTGCCCAACCCTTCTATGTGACTTCTGTTTGCATACAGCCCACTCTGCCACTTTCCCTATAAGCCCCTTATGATATGCATCCATAAACCACCATGATTGATTAAAAAAATTGGTGAATCACCTTGACAGGACACTTATTGAGGCATTGCTGTGCCACTTTCTTTGCATCCTCAAATTTGACTTTGTAAATTTTACAGTACGAATGCTTGTACTAGCCTTAGTACTGAATAATATGAACATGCCATAAAAGAAAAGACTGAAGAAACTGACCATCTCAATAGGATGAAGCTCACAATAGAACTTCAGAAGAAAGATGCAGATGTGACCTCAAGCTTTTGATTTCTGCTCAAGAAGGGATTCTTGAAAAAAAAAATCATCCTGCCTGGTCAGGAGTCAGGCTATATAGCAAGTGTCACTCTTAAAAGGACAAATTGGAGAATACTTGGCCTTTATTGTGTAGACATCAAAGCTACATTCTATAAGAGTCTGCTGCAATCCCTTTGCCTTGCCATTCTTGGTTGTCATCTTGCTTACTAAAAAATAACCATTGAACTTTGTCTGGCCCTCTCACACTCACTTCCACTCTAGGCATTGCTGCATATGCACTGACTTATTGTTGATAATAGGACCATGTGAGTGTGATTTATGTGGACCTGCTATTCATGGTCTATCCAGTATTGATTATAATGTAATTTTTTGAGAACTCACCAGGTTTTTCATAGATGAGAGCTAGTCTCTGTCTTATGGATTATCAAGATCAATATCCTCCATGTCTTCTTCAGTGTCTGACTCAAATTCAGGTGAGTTTCTCGAGTGGATTGATTTTTTGTGAAAATGCTGAATTTTCAATGCATGTTTCTTTCTTGGAGGATGCCCTTGGGGATGCTTTGAATGCTACATAATTTGGTAGCCCAGTATGTCATGGTTTGGAAATGCACCACCATTACAGCCTTGGTAATTTTTTTTGGGACTATTTAAGACTACCATTGAACTCAGATAGAAAAATGGAGTTGATTGATGCTATTTCTGAGGCCCTACCATTTAATTTGGGGGTTGGCCAATTTTTTAAGGGTCAAAATCAATAAAATGTAATTTACATGAGATTGGCTCATGGGATTTTGCTTGTAAGGAGCTCAAAATGCTTATTTACTGAATGCGCATCAATTCCGGTGGTTCCGGAGGGTGGGAAAATTAGTTGACTAAAATTGTTGACTTTGCTTGTCCGGCACTGTAGTAGAATAGAATGTAAAAGCTATCAAAGGTTGTGTAAAAGCCAACAAAGATTACACAGGCACTATAAGACTATGTGTTTACTATGAAGGTTACACAGGAGCATTTGAGGTCATAATAGTGTGCACAAGACCACAAAAAGGCCTACAAGATTATGCTGGTGATTCTGAGATAGTATTATAGCTAAGGTCTATGCTGAAAAAGATGCAAATTTGGGTGCTTAATATACAGTATAGAGGCATACTAATTAAAAAAACAGCTAAGATTATGTGCAAGATTGTATAAAAGCCTAAAAAATTGCACTGACAGTTTCAGTATCACATTATAGCTACAATTTATACTAAAAGGCTGCATAATTAGGGCACTTAGTGCATAGCATAGTAATATGCTTACTAGTACTTCATTAATATAGTAAGAAAAAATAATGCAAAAGCTGTAGGAGGTTGCACAGATACTTATAGAAATTTAATAGACACTATAATGTTGTATAGTTACTAAAAAGGTTATGTAAGAGTATTCAAGGTTACAATGTTGTGTGCAAGATTGCACAAAGGTTGTACTAATCCTTTTGTTGTTGCACTATAGCTATAATTTATTCTAGAAAAAGGACTAAATGGGATGCTTGGTACAAAGTATAAAAGCATGCTTATTAATATATAGAAAATTATGGGTCCTAAATTATTTTGATCTTGAAGTACCTTGTGTGGCTAAAAATTGACAACTAGTACTTACTAAGTTTTGACAAAGATACACATTGGTATCAAGCTCAAGCAAAGGTCATGCCGATACAGTCGGCAATTCCCAAGTAACCCTATACATACTGTATACATACAACATACTATCCTTCCAGCAGCATTCTGCCAGAAAACCGTAAAAATATTCTATAGCTTTGAAATGGGACTCTGAGAGGGTGAGACTTGGCATGTATACTGGCAAACACTCACACTACCTTCCTGTGTACTTAAATATACCGGAAGGCTAGTATGTCATTGAGCGGAACGTTTCCGGTGGGTTTGAGGGGTGTTCGGTGATTTCTCCGCACGATGGTCACGACGATGTCACGAAGCTGTGGTTGCCACTCCGCTTCCAGGAGGCCTGGATCCTCCTGGATCATGTTGCTTTTTCTGGATATTTCCAAACGGGCCGCTGGCGGAGATTGAACCAAGCTCCTAATTCGTCAAGTATGACTTTGCTCGATGAGGACGATGTTCTGCGATTCAGCGATGACACGGGATCTGTCCCTGGAGAAATTTGTACAGTATAGATATATCTTATTTTATCTCAGTCAAATATTTCCATGCAAATCGGACAAGATCGGCTGGCTCAAGTGAGCAAACAGATTTTACCGAGCAGGTATTACTTGAACCATCTCTCCTCCCGTTAACTTCTCGGCTTCGGATTTTTTCTGGGACCTCGGTTATGATATCCAAATAACCTCCAGTTGGTTTGAAGAAGATCTATTGAGAACTCATCGCTCCTCGAGCGATTACCGAACACCGTTAAATTACCGAACACTATATTAATAATAGTGCTAGCACCTGAGTAAATAGCTGGTAAATGTAATCTAGAAAAACAGTTTATATACAGTAAGTAAACTAAATTGTTGGAGCCTTAGTTACGACACGGGTCGGGGTCACCGCCCAAACTCGCGAGACAAACCTGGAACCCAGAGGTAAACCAGGAATCTGAGGCAGCTGGGGAGCTGGGGCTCCGCTACATAAGGTTTTACTCATGGACTCTGCTCTGCTCGCTGCTCAAGACCCCATCCTCGCATCGCTTGCCCGCCTGCAGTCTCTCGTTCCTCATCTCGAAGAGCTCTCCTCCGAAGCACATCTCTTCTCCCAAAAGGTCTCCGTGACTGCGCGCACCGCCGCCCGCGTTGGCGGGCGCGTGCGCACCCTCGATGAGGAGATGCATCGCGTCCGCGAGGCGAGCGAGCGCGTAGGGCAAGTGATGGACTTGAAGGTGTCACTACTCTCGATGCAGGCTTCTATAGAATCTCAAGACTGGGAATCAGCCACGCGATATTGTGCGCGTGCTATGGCGCTCCCCGACGAGGTTATCTCTGGCGCTTTCGCTGAGGTTGCCGTTGTCAGTCCCTTCATCGTATTCTATCATTCTACTGCACCATTCAATTTAATATTCTGACCAGCCAACATCCGAGAGTCACCTTCCTCCTACTCAGACTTTGCAAGCCGCCCGAGAACACCTTCTAGATGTCTTTACCAGCCAATTTGATGCTGCAACCAAGTCCCGCGATGCTGTTGCAACGACTCGGTTCTTCAAGCTATTCCCTTCCATAGGTTGGGAAGCAGAGGGCCTCGAGGCGTATGCCTCGTTTGTTGTCGACCTTGTGAAGGTGCGCCCTCCCGCATCTGCTAAAAGTTCGTCCTCACAGCCCTTCCCCTCTTGGATCTGCGTATTCACCATGCGGGGTCGGATCGCCACTAGCATCATCTCCGCTATTCTACATCACATCTCTCACCGCTCTCTTTGAGAGCATCGCTATGATCGTTGATCAGCACCAGCCTGTGGTCGAAAAATATTATGGGCCGGGTAGAATGGCGAGTGTGATCGTGCGGCTGCTTCAAGAATGTGACCGCGTTTCCAAATCTTTGATCGAAGGCTGGGAGGAAGAACGCTCAATGAAACGCAAGGTATCTACATTCATCCACTCTCCAAATATCCTTGTATATGCCTGTTGACATCAAAATGTGATGGTAGCTTTTGGATACATCCAATACCTCATTCTTTTCCCTAACGACATCTACGCCTACTATGCGTAGACCACCCACGCAACTTTCAGGCATTGACGAAGAGGTTGATCCGCGCGAGATCGACAAAGTCATCACGGAGGCAGCAGGAATGGCCAGCCGATGGAGCCTGTTTCGTCGATTCTTATACGACCGCTTGAAGGTATTCTCGGGAATCTTTGTATGTATATATTTTCTGCATTTTGATTATATTTAACAGACGACTGAGCGTTCTGAAGACGGGTCGACATCCAATTTGGGGGCATCACATCTGACTCACATCGAAAAAGTATCCGGCTTATCTGAGCGACCGCCATCCCCTGCGTCCTGGAATCTCATGGCTGTAGACTTGAGTGCTTGCAACAAGCTTTTCAGCGACCTCCTGACTACCTACTATACCCCCCTTGAAACTTGGTACGCCCGTAGCGCCATTGACAAGGTGAAGTTTCATCCGTGATCCCTACTTTCTCGACTTCTCCTACCTACGCCTTCAAACTAACTGAAGATACTGATTATCTACCCATAGGCGCACCATCTTTCGACCTCGGAGGCACTCTCCAGCCCCGTAACCACCACCAGGCCTGACGACGCATTCTACATCATCAAGGTCATCCTTGCGCGCCTCCTCTCGACAGGTGCAGCTCCTGTTGTGGAACGCATGGCCGCGGCGCTGCGCGATGTCATCGAACGCGACTATGCCGGCGTGCTGCGGCACAGGATGGACGAGGTGTACCGCTCGGCGGGCGCGGTGCGCGGGGAAAAGGCTGAGCGTGAGAGTCGTGTTGCGTTTATCGTGCGTGTGTTTGTTTCTTTGCTATGTATACACTGGCCACAAACAGATATGCTAATTGTGGGTGTTCTTTTATAAATTTAGACACTGTTGAATGATCTGGACATATCTGCCTCACACATGGAGCGGCTTGTGAGGGACCTTCTTGCATCATCAACCATCACACAGAATTTTCTGGCATCTGAGGTTGATCTCGCGACGAATAGTATATCGTCGTTGACAATGCTTGTGCCCAAATTTCGATCAATCCTCCGGGTACGTCTACCCATCATCCTCCGTTCGTCACTTTTTTTCCTCAGAATAGCATCTGCCAATGTAGGCCGGCGTTGAGCAGCTATTCAATCAGCTCCTGCGCCCGAAGCTGCGCATGCTCCTCGCAGACGTGTACAAAGATGCCTCGTATGTGCTTGACGAGGATGCGTACGCTGCGGCCGAGTATCAGGATGTCATTCGCAAGCGATTTATCAAGGCTTGGGAGGGCCTTGTAGACGGATATAAAGTGTGTTCGACGTGACTTCAGTTCGCGTGTTGGCTGCACAGCTTATAACCTCGGACTGCAGGATACATTTACGGAGAGCAACTACCGCCTCTTTTTCGGTCTCGCGCTTGACGTACTGATCCGGCCCTGGGAGAAAATTGTTATGGGACTCCGATACAGTGAGGTGCGCCTCCTTTCCTTGATGCAAACGCAGATCTTTTATCCTAAACTGAACTGCATGTGCGACCTAGCTTGGTGCGATCCGGTTCGACCACGACTTGCGCTCTATCACTACACATCTGTCCTCCCAGACCGCTTTCGGCGACGTGCGCGAGAAATTTGTGCGGCTACAGCATATTTCTACCTTGATCAACCTCGACCAGGTCCGTTCCATCTCTCTTTGTCTCCTTTTCTTTCTGTCTTCTCAAACGCTGTACCACGGACTCATGTACGCACATTGTAGGAAGAAGACGTAGACGATTTTTACAGCAGCTCAGGGATACAATGGAAGTTGAGCTCGCAAGAGGCGCGGGCGATTGCGGGGCTGAGGGTATGACAGTACAGAAAATGTGGCCAGGAGTGTGTGGAGTGATTTACTATGTCGTCCATATTCTCATATACCTTGTGAACATCCAACAAATCGTAAGGCAGACAGCAAAACAGAGGATAACAGAGACAGAAGAATTATAGTACTACAAGTGTAAAATGTTCAGAATTAACAAAGCCCGGGATAGGAACGAGGAAAGTGAGTGCAGGATGTTGTGGGTATCGGTTTACATCTAAACCTCCCTCTCATCCTCGGCGAAGAGCATCAAGTCGAGCTTGCAATGAGTCTTCATCCGATAAGCCGCCTGCACCGTTATTTCCCCCGGAAGAGTCATTACCTGACTTGGGCCTGCCAGAAGCCGCGATGCCTCCGTCCCCGAGCGCGACAACCTGACGGTTTTCCGTGAGGGGCGCAGAGGTAGCGATGTCCGTGGGCGCGTCAGTAAGCTAAAAAGAATCGTTAGGATAGCAGCGCGGTGGCATTTTATGAAGGGGAACGAGAAGAAAAGATGCACACCTGCTGCGAGAGGCCAACGCCGATCTCGTCTAAGACCTCTTTAAGGATCTTGTCTCCCTCCTCTTCCTCGTCTTCGAGGTCATCATCCATGACATCGTCCACAGCGTCATTCATCATCTCGTCCTTCATGTCCATCGTCGCACTCTCGCGCTCGAACTCGTTCATGATGCGCTGGATCGCAGGCAGGTTCAGCCCGCGGTTCATGCCCTTCATCGCCTGTGCGCGTATGACCGGCAAATATCAAGCAAGAAGAATGTGAGCTATACACACGGGGAAGAGGATGGGGGGGGGGGGGGGGACGCACACGAGTGGCACCGCGCATCGCGTCGGCCATCTGCTGGTTACTTCTAAGCGTCTGTATCCGCAATCCAACAGCTTGGAGCTGTGTCCTCATCTGATAAAATTTCTGCACATATCGTCTCGTCCGGACAAGATCTTTCGCCATGATTTTACACGCATTCTGTGGAGGGCATCGCGTCAGATTTAGCGTTCGCAAGTATGGATGGCTGCGCCACCAGCGAGTGTGAGCTCACCATCTGGCCCGCCTTAGCGCTTTTCTTGATGTCCATGATGAGTTTCTTCTCACTCTGCTCAAGCTTAGTACGTTCGCGGTCGAGTTCGCGCTGAGCCTTCGCGAGGGCGCGCTGGTGCTGCCGCAACCGCTCAGCAGGGGTGACGGTGCGCCCAAAAAGTGTTTCCTGTTTGAAAAATCTGATCAGTGATCATAGCTTCTGCCATGAAGAGGGAGCACGGACAATGATATTCATGTGCCTGTGTACGGAGTGACCTTTGACGAAGGCGCACGTATTGAGCCCTACTCGTTTCAGCAGGACCCCGGCATGACCTATCAAACCTGCTCCTCCCTAAAAGGGACCAGGAAAACCTGGGACCTCCTGGGACCTACTACGGGACCAGAAATAACGACTGGTTTTGAGACTCGCCCATACAACTTCGTGTTCATCATTGCTCTGTCGATTTCGTGATGCCTCCAAGAGTTACTCGTAAAACCAAAGCCTCCCATGTGAACGTCCTCAAACTCGACAATCCTCCACCTTTGAAGAGACTGAAGACCCTTAGCACGGTATGCCTTATCCCTACACTCCGTGATCTTTCATTGACATAGGGTATGCGGGTAGCTGGCTAGCCCGCCGACCTATGATCTTGGACGGAACGCAACATCTTCATCGTCATCTCCTGTTCATCTCCATCCCCCCTCAAAAACCGGTCAATGTGATACGAAGGGAAAGACAAAGGCGACAGATGAAGAGGAGTTGATACACAGTGCGTGTCATACAACCCTCACCCGGCACACCACCCAAGTAATGGATATCAGACGATGATAGATTATGGGTAGATAGATATGAACCACAAACTGAGGCAAATTCCTTCTTTCCTCCATGGCCATGCGCTCTCTGAGCTTACCATCGTCGTGGCATCAACTAGGCGGACCTTGCCGTGCACAAACGCAAAGTTGATGACGTGCGCAGATGGCTCACTGAGTCATTTGATGGCGGGAAGCTCAAGAAGTTCCGTGTATGTCTTTTGAACAGTTATGGTGTCTCGACAGCTGATCACACTGCTTGCAGAGGCTACTGGTTCTAACAGGCCCGGCTGGCTCGGCCAAGACAACGACCATACGGGTTCTATCCCGCGAGCGAAACATCGAGGTCATCGAGTGGAGGAGCTCTCTTAACATTTTCCCGGTCTCTGAATCATTCGGTCGTAAGCTTTTGTCACATATTCAATAGCTTTCTTCCACCGACATGGCATCATCGTCACCTGGCAGAAGAGCACGCAGGACACTATGACTATGAAAGCATGATTGATCAATTCGAATCATTCCTCACGCGCGCGGGATCATACCATTCATTATTTACACCAGCTTCAATCCCGGCTTGCTCGCAGCCAATCGGGTCCACTATCCGCAATACGCCAGGCTCAAACTCCCGACAGCTTATTCTTCTCGAGGATCTCCCGAACATACTGCATCCAGCCGTTCGGGAACGATTTCATCACGCGCTGCGCACTCACGTTGAGAATATGCGGGAGGATGCCGCGCCCGTCGTGATTGTGCTGAGCGATACAGGTATCAGAGGAGAAGGTGGGGAGGAGAGATGGGCGGAAGGCAGTAATGCGCGGGCAAGAGGCCGCGACGATGTCGTAGATTTCCGAGCAGTCATGCCACCTGGGATGGGTGCTGCTTGGGTCACCCAGATCGCGTGCGTCGTATCGATTCTCTTGGCAATTCTGGTTTAACGTTACTTTCTACTTTTACGTCTGGGTGCTGGCCCCTTGCCTTGCGGGTTCAGGTTTAATCTGATCACTCCAACAACTCTCACCTCCGCCTTGAAGGCCCTTCTAGCCAAAGCGGGAGCGACAGTGTCACAAACGATGCTGACCGCAATTGTTGACGGAGCAAATGGGGATATACGCAGTGCGGTCATGCGACTGGAGTTTGCTTGCGCTAAGACTAGTTCAGGCGAGTCTGGGCAGAGAGACAAGTGTGTTAATATATTTTATCTTATAGTTCTATCACTGACTCATTACTCTATAGATCGTTAGTAGTAGCAGCAAGGCGTGAGAGTGCGCTCGCGCTTTTTCATCTTGTCGGCAAGGTGCTCTACAATAAACGTATGTGTGGATCCTTCGTTCGGCGCTTGATGGTTGATCACTTCAACGCCAATATAGGGAAAGGAGATCTCCCACCCGCTTCTGCGACGAAGAGAGAGAGATTAGCTGAACAAGCACTAGATACGACCCTCAAAAATCCGAAGCCACTACCATCATGGATCAAATTTGAAGAGAGGCGAACAAGTAGGGTTGACGTCGATGTAAGCTCTTCGTTATTTGACAAGCTCTTTGTTCATCATTCGATTATTTCAATGGACAGGCACTGTATGCGGACACGTCGGTTGATGCATCACTCTTTGGATTGTATATCCATCAAAACTATACTCAATTCTGTGAAGAGATTGACCAGTGCGATGGAGTTATGGATGGGTTAAGCTGGCTTGATGCAAATGGGGGTGAGAGTGTACGTTAGTCATGCAAATGTTGCTTGACATTACATATCACTGACTCTGCTTATGTTGGATTTGGTTTCTGGGATATTGCTAGTGGCACCAAACAAATCCATACACTTTCCATCTGCAAACACTTTCGACACTTCATGCTCTTCCAAGCCCTGTGCCAAGAAGTGGACAAAGATTCGGGAAGCCTGAGTTCTTTGACAGTCTGAAGAAGGAGACAAAAGCTCTTAGTGTCATTGATATAGTTGCAGGCTGGCTGGTCAAGGTTCGTTATTGCTTTCAAAGTGAGAATTTCAGATTCAAGAGGATTTTAATAATAATCACACAGAATAGCACCATAGGTCCAGTCTGTGGATGGTCTCGAAAGTCTGCTGCTCTTGAATTGGGTGGTATACTCAGGATACTGGACTCTAATCTTCACATCCCACACATCATTCCTTCTTCCTTGTTTGCTCAGGGTGTAAAGTGCCTAAGAGATCATAAGGTATTCTCAGAGTTCATATTTTACAAGAATCCTACAACACTAGTGCAAGACAAAGAAGAAATTCCTTTATCTTTGAGTATTGACAAAATTAGTAAAATAACGGTTTTAGAAGAAGAAATAAGTAGGGCTGGAGAGTTAGAAGAAGACAAGATTGAATTGTTCGAATAACTAATATAATTACTGATATATATTGTAAAATATTGTACTTATTGGGGAAAAAAAACTATATCTGTTTTTGGGACCTATGGTTATAGATTTTAGATTGATATTTTGTAAGCACTACCCTGCTTACCTAGATTAGCTCTTGTATAACTATAATCTGTATTATAACACCTTTGTCATATATCATAGCCTTCTGAGCATTATCTAGAAATCCATGTATATGGGTCCCTATTATAAACTTGTTTAGGTTTTCTTATATATCTGTACTTTCTTACCTTTAGCATGGAGATATGTTAGATCCTTCTCAAGTCTATACTCTATATTCTTACTCTATAGTCACTTGGTCTATGCATCTGCTTGTATGTATTTAGGCACTTTGTGTATAGTAAAGAAGCCTTAGGCTATCCACCTTTGTCCAATCTAGGAACTGCTGCTTACTAGTCTTCTCTGATTTAAGTCATTGATTTCATCAATCTAATCAACTTTTTTCTTACACAACATATCCTTATCTTCTTTTATTGTTGTGGCCTAGGATTTCTTATTACTTATAGCTATTTGTGACAGTCCTAAGGAAAATCACTTAAGACAGACCTTATGTTCTTTTACCCACAATATTGGTAAGAAATAAATAAAATTGATATAAAAGCAGCCAAATCACAATAGTGGTACAATATAGATCATGGTCATGCCAAACTCTGCATAGGACAAGCAAGAGGACCGCTTACAAACATTTATATCACAGTTCTCTAGGCATTATCTAGGATCTCTAGAAAACTATAGGGAACCAGCTAAGACAGATATTGGTAAAAATAGAAAAAAGATAATATAGAAATAGTTACAGTGTAATGAAGGTATTACAACACATATTGCGGTCATGCAACAGCTTACCTAAGCAAGCAAAGTAGCACTTACAAAATATCAATTTGAAACTTGTAACTATAAGTCCTGAAAATTGTGGCTATTTTTGTATTACTTTTGCCCATGTTTTTTTGTACTAATTAAGTATAATTATAGTTGTATTGTATAATTTCATATTCTTGACTGTCTTTGGCAATGTTAAAAATAATCTACCAACATTGATATATGTAATTACAGCTATATATATTGCTAAACATGCCTATATTTTTCTTTTGCAAACTCAATTATAGAGTGTATGTATACTGATGCTAGCTTTAGCATCCAAAATATGGTTGTCTAGCACTTGCAATGCCAGCTCCAGCATCTATCATAAAGGCTTGCACTATAAAAAAAAGTTCGCCTTTTTCAAGCATAATTCCATTATAAGAAAATATATACACTTAAACTTGATAATTTTCTTTTAAAGGCACATAAATAAGATGTGTTTTGCTATATTAAGCATGGACCATATCTCTTAGTAGGGCCTTATTAATTATATTGTCTTTTATACTCCTATCCTTGGCACAAAAGCCTTTGGCCTAATATCTAAGACATAGCAGTGCCTTTCTTGGTTACACTACTACCTGCACAAATATTTCCTTATTAGCAAAGAGCATGTGGTGTAGCAATGCCCTTCTTTATTTAGATGACAAAATAGTTAGTGGACTTGTATTAAGTAGAGGACATGTATCTTGTTTTAAATTTCATTTGCTTATAGGTCTACTAAGCACATAAATATTAGCAAGGACAAGGATAACTAAGTCATATTTTGTAAAAAGGCCTGTAGCAATATGCTTGTATTGATATTAGCAATAATCTAATTCTTTGCAAGAATATAATAGACAACTATAAGAGTAGGAACATCTGCTATCTATAAAAGGTTTGGTAGATTAGCTGTGCATTATCATACAAAAGGCTATTAAGCTGCACATATGCATATAGAACAGCATACAGATATAAGGACTGGTAAGAGTCTAGCATGCTTATATAGTAGGAAATGGCAGTATGTAGAGCTTGAGGTGGACAAGCAGTCTAGGTATAAAAGCAATATGCAAACATCTGGGAAACCGCTTCCTTTTATTAGCTCTGGATTATATCTAATAGTGTCTAAAAGTATCTAAAAGTGTTCATAGTATCTAAAAGTGTCTAATTTCCTAATTGGGAGCAACACATTATGAGTATTGGATTGAATTTCAAAATTGGAAACCATCTCTTTCTATGGCTAAAAAGATAGTTTCTGATTTTATGATATTAGTACTAATTCCATACCAAGAACTCTTTAATTAGCAGTAGGAAATAGTAAGTACTACTACTCTATTGGTGAGAAGGTAAAAATATGGCATATTCTATGCTATTTCAGTACATTACTCTCCTTTATGTATGCTTATACCATCATCTTGTAGCTCTTTTGCCGACTTTCCAGCTATCTTTATAAGGGATATAAAAAGAGAAAAATGTGCATTGATACCCCCAGCTACTTTGTTAACAGCTTGGCAGCTGCCATAAGAGGCTATAAAGACCTCAGTACCTTGGCCTTACACACAAGATTATAGAGGTTGTCATTGTCAGTGGATGCCTGCTACTAGTCAATATAGGACACAATATGTAGGTTGGGCTTAGAGATGTGCTATATACAGCCTTGCAGACCTTGTTTATTAGTGCAGTGGTTAATACTGTCTCATACAGCACACAATTGTTATTGCTATTAATATTACAATTTTTAGCACTATCCATATTGTTTATTGCCTTGTTATATAGAAGATGCTCAAACTTAGTGTTTTCCTCTAGCTACTGGGCTATGGAAAAAAGACTCATTACAATACCCCTATTTAACCGATATACTATAATCCTATCCTCTTGGAAAAGAGCTTATGCTTCTCTCTAGCTAGGCCCTTTATCAAAATATCTGCCACCTGATCTATGGGTATGTATTCCAGCCTAAGATTACCACTTATGACTTTCTCTCATATGAAATAATTACAAACACTAATATATTTTGTGTGGGCATAGTACATAGTGTTTTGTGCAATGTCCATAGCCAATTGGTTATTTATAAGAAGATGTCATCTAGAAAACGACCCTTTGTATTAGCTCTGGACTATATCTAATAGTGTCTAAAAGTATCTAAAAGTATTAATACCATCTAAAAGTATCTAAAAGTATTAATAGCATCTAAAAGTATCTAATTTCCCAATTGGGAGCAACACATTGTGAGCATTGGATTGGTTTCTAATTTCATAATATTAGCACTAATTCTATACTAAGAACTCTTTAATTACCAGTAGGAAATAGTAAGTACTACGGCTCTATCAGTGAGAAGGTAAAGATGTGGCATATTCTATACTATTTTAGCATATTACTCTCCTTCATATATGCTTGCACCATTATCTTGTGGCTCTTTTGCTAACTTTCTAGCTGCCTTTACAAGGGACATAGAAAGAGAGAAATGTGCATTGATGCCCCCAGCCACTTTGTTGGCAGCTTGGCAGCTGCCACAAGAGGCTATGAAGACCTAGGTACCTTGTCCTTGCACACAATATTATTAAAGTTGTCATTGTTAGCCAATGCCTGCTACTGGTCATTACAGGACACAACATGTGGGTTGGGCTTAGAGATATGCTATATACAGCCTTGCAGACCTTGTTTATTAGTGCAGTGGTTAATACTGTCTCATACAGCACACAATTGTTATTGCTATTAATATTACAATTTTTAGCACTATCCATATTGTTTATTGCCTTGTTATATAGAAGATGCTCAAACTTGGTGTTTTCCTCTAGCTATTAGGCTATGGAAAAGACAGTCATGTTAGTATGTGGTGCCAGAATGATATATTTGTCTGCCATATAGGAAATATGTGCACTAAGCATATTAAGATCACCTCCAACAATCTTGTGCTTATTTATATATAGGCATGTCATACATATACTCTTGTCCCTACTCTCTACCTCATTAGTGGCTATTTTAAAAATCCCTCTCTCTTATTAGATCTAAATTATTGATAATTATTAATAATACTAATTTGAGCTAATTATGGCTAATTATTTATAATCATGTTTCCGATCAAATTTGCAAATTAAGGTAGCATTGTCTATACTAGTAGAGTCCCATTGAATATTACACTCAATCATAGTTTTACACATTCTCAGTCCAAATTGTGTAAGTGCCATAATTTATTTTTATCCTATATAAAGTGTATTATCAATTTTCCATTGGTTTATTATCTTCTTAGCTGGTGTTTAAACTAAATCCTGAAAGACCTGACTTTTTAGGTATTTATTGACCTATTTATTTATAAGATAGAGGAAAGATAAATGTTGAATAAAATCAGAGATGTTGAGGTTGCCTATATTATGTCTACTTATTTAGATTACCAAGTTTATATCTTAGACCTTGTGGCTTAGTGGCTTAGAGCATCTGTCCCGGGTGCTTGCATACATGAGGTTGTTGGTTCAACTCTGGCAGAAGGCAAGTTTGTTATAAGGTATATTCTGTGTTTAGGTATTGAACTAGTGCTCTAATAGACATGACTGTATAAGAAGACTATGTGAACTGTGATGCTTGATTTATTATGATTTTTCCGAAATTTGAAGTTATAATCAATCCTAATAATTCCTAATTTAGAAAAATTATGTCTAATTAGAACAGGTTTAGGGGGGGGGGAAGCAAATAATCTCCAATCCTAATCATTCTTAATTATGCATAAATAGTACTAATTAGAGCATAATGCGAGAGGGTGATTTCCTAGATGGTGTCAGTTCAATATAAGGCACACTAAGGTTAGCTAATAAGGTATGCAGCTAGATTAGCTTTTTTATAGTATAAGTGCTGGTAATATACTCTATCTTAGTACTAGACAATCATAGAGCCCTGCTTTACTAAACTCTAGCTAATGGCTTCATCTAAGAGCTTAAAGACATAACTAGAAATAGACTTGTGGTTATTAATATTGCTAGCCTAGTCCATATTAACATAGCCAGTGAGTCCATTCTCTAATTTTTTGCCCTAGTAGACCAACTTTATATCTAAAGTGCCCTATAGATGTTTAGGAACATGCTGATATGCTAGAGGTATCTCTAAGTGCCAAGTACAATAATAAAACCATCTCT